AGTGCTCAGTAAATATTTATTCCCTCACTCTCTGACTTGCCATCTCAACATATTAATGGAAATACTGGGAAAACATTATTGTGGGTAGAACTTTCAAAAGGGACCCTCAATTCATTTGTCCAATGAATTGGAATAAGTACAAGTCTTCTAGGAGTGGGGTGGGGTGTCAGAAGGCCACTTTGAATGTCTTAATTCTGGTGTGTTTATTAAAGTCATTCTTATAACCTTGAGTCTAGTGAGCTATCAATGCCTACTACTGGCCACAAGGGGGCAAGATAATACCAAGGCCCAATAACAACTCATAGCCTGTAAACTTCTACCTTGTCAATAATTTTTTGTCAGTGGAAGGCAGCTTGCCTTTAGTGCAATGAACCAGGACACCTGAATTCCAGTTAAGGCTTTACCATTAATTTGCGTAATCTCAGATAAGACTTCTCCCCCCCCCCCCCTTGGAGACATCTTGCCTAATCTATAAAATAAGGGAATTGGACTAGATGATCTCTAAGGGCTGTGCCAGCTCTTTAAAAAAAAGTCCTAAACCACTGACTTCCTTTTGGGACAGATGAATGGTCAGAGATCAGAGTCAGAGATTCAGCAGCTCTGCGTCCCAGTCTGAGGGGCAACATGGGGTGGTGAGAACCATGGATTTGCAACCAGAGAACCTAAATGAGGGCTTCTTAATCTTTTTTCACTCAGGACCCCTTTTCATGTTTTGGCAGTGTAGATGTTGCATGGCCTGAGGCATGTGCCGTGCAAAGTGCGCATGCTTTGTGTTCAAAACCAAGGCTGCAGTGAAGTTGCATGATGCAGTATGGACAGGCATTGCCAGAAACACCTCATATTTTTTACATGTTTGATTTTTAATTAATTTTTGGTCGTTGTGCATTCAGAAACCTTTTACTGTTGCCAAATTTTTCACAATCCCATTTGGGGTCCCAGCCCACAGTTTAAGAAGCACCAAGTCCTAGATTAGACTCTGATTTCTTCCCCTACCACCTGTGTGGCCTTGGGCAACTCAGTTTCCCTGGGCCACAGTTTCCTCATCTGTAACATGAAAGGGTTGGACTAGATCATCCCTAGAGGCAGGTAGGTGGCACACTCCATATAGTGTTGGGCTTGGAGTCAGGAAAATTCAAGTTCAAATCTTGACAAGGGTCTTATACTCCTCTAAGAACATGGGGTAAGGGAGGAGGAGTAGGCAACCTTGGTGACAGGATAGGTCAGGAGCAGATCCCAGTTGGGAAAGTAGCTGAACCTTAGTTCAGCTATCTCTTGGGGATGGCAGAAGGCGTGGTGTGACCTGAACTCTGGCACTCACTATCTGTGTGACCCTCATTTAACTTCTCAGCCTCAGTTTCCCCATCTGTAAAATGAGGGGGGTTGATACCTTACAGTTCTGAATCTATGATCCTCTGATCTTTGATGCTCTAAAGCTGCCGAGGCCTAAGTCAAGCATACTAATATTTGGGTCTGAAGTGCCTCTATTTTTAGTGCACGGTGCTGGGCTTTGTGGGAGACACAGAGATGTATCTGCCTTCAAGGTAAATAAAAATTAGGAGCAAACAAGATTAGGATACCCCTCTCTCCAAAAATTTTCTAATAGTCTTTCAAGACAGAATGTGACTATGTGACCCTGGGCAAGTCACTTAACCCCAATTGCCTTAAAAAAAAAAAGACAGAATGTGGTATCATAAAGAAGGTACAAAATACTATATGATTTCTGAAGAGAGAGAAGCCCTATCAAGCTGGAGTGTCACAGAAAGTTGCTTCGAAGAAGATGGGAATTGAAAGGCCTTAAAGAATGAGTTCAAAGCTTGTCTCAGACATTTATTAACTGTCTCTGTGACCCTAGGCAAGTCACTTAATCTCTTGGCTTCAGTTCCCTCATCTGTAACATGAGGGGGGCCTTTGAGATAGCCTTTCGGGTCTGTCCCAGCTCTAAGTCTGTGATCCAGTGATGCTCCTATGAATACATAGGATTGGGTAAGGTGGGGAGGGAATCAAGGAGGGAGAAGAGGAACATGGCCATCTCAGACAACAGAAACAAACCAAGTGAGCAAAGATTCAGGTGAATGACATCGTGGAGTCTCTTTGGGCAATCCAGTTTAGCTGCATTGTGGAGGGTAGTGCGAGTAAATAGGTAATAAAGCTGAAATCAAGCTGAAAAGTTAACATCTGAAGAATTTGAAGGTCTTGAGTTCTGGTCAGTCAATAAGTATTTGTGAATAAGTGCCCCCTCTGCCAGGCACCGGACATACAGAGAAAGGCCAAAGACAGTCCTGGCTCTCAGGGTACTCTCAGTCCAATGTTGTCTACTACAACACAAAACTGTGTACAAGATAAATAGAATATAATCAATACAGGGAAGGCAAGGTGGATGAGGAAAGGCTTCCTACAGAAGGTGGGATCTTATCTAGGACCTGAAGGAAGCCAGAGAAGCCAGGAGGTGGACATAAGCAGGAAAAGCATTCCAGGCCTGGGGGATAGCCAGTGAAAGTGCCTGGAGTCAGGAGATAAATGGAATGTCATCTGTGAGAAATAGTAAGGTAGCCCAGTGGAACTGAATCAAGGAGAAGGAGAAGGGGAGTAAGGTGTAAAAAGGTTAGAAAGGTAGGAGGGGACCAAGTTGTGAAGGGCTTTAAAAGGCAAATCTGAGAGGTTCTCTGTGTGTGTGTGTGTGTGTGTGTGTGTGTGTGTGTGTGTGTGTGAGAGAGAGAGAGAGAGAGAGAGAGAGAGAGAGAGAGAGAGAGAGAGAGACAGAGACAGAGACAGAGATAATCAGATTTATATTTTAGGAAGATCAATTTGACTGCTGAGTGGAGGGTGGTAAGATACCAACTAGGGCTATTGCAGTGGCCCAGGTGTGAGATGATGAGGTCCTGTACCAGGACACTGGCAGCGTCAGAAAAGAGAAGGGGGCATATAGAACAGGTGTTTGAAAAAAGGTAGAATCAACAGGACTTGGCAACTGGTTGGTTATGAGGGGGGTGAGAGAGAGTGAGGAGGAGGGGATGACACCTAAGTTGTGAGCCTGGAGCCCTGGGGGAGGATGGTACCTTTGACACTAATAAGGAAGTTAGGAAGAGAAGAAGTTTTGGGGGGAAAGATGAACTCTGTTTTGGATGTGTCAAATTTAAGCTGTCTGCAGGATATCCAGTTCAAGATATCCAATAGTTAGTTGGAGATAGGAGACTATAGGTCAGGAGAAATATTAAGGCTGGTTAAATAAATCTGAGCATCAGCTGCAGAGAGATGATTGAATCCATGAGAGCTGAAGAGATTATCAAGCAAAACAGCATGGAGGGAGAAGTGAAGGGGGTCCAGGCCAGAGCACTGGGGGCACCTACAGGTACAGGTTGTGACCAGGATGTAGACACAGCAAAGGAGAGCAAAATGGAGTGGACAGACAGGTAGGAGAAGAACCAGCATTGTGTAGCAAGGGTTGGAGGGGTGTGAAAGAAAGCATGGAAGCCAATTGTGGAAGGACTGGTAACAAAGTAGGCGTTCGTAGATGGGGGGAAGCCTAAACAAGTTATGATGCAAGAATGCAGGTGGTGTTGTTATTGGTGTTTGTCCTTCGTTTTCAAAGAGAGCCAGTGACATGATGGAGTGAGTTGTGAGTGGATTGAAATGAGGCAGACCTGCGCAAAGTTGTCAGCATCACTCAATCTTCCAGAGTCATCAAAGTCCAGAGGCAAAGTCAAGATGACCAATGGGGGCCTGGGATGCAGTGGATGACCTTGGCATCTTCCATGTCTGACTAAGCTCTAATTGCTCCACAGCACCTGTTCAATTGTCTTCATGGCTGTTGGAACAAATTGTTCTCATCAGACTGTTCCACTGGGGGAAGTCTTCCCATGCTTGGGGTAGACATTTCCCTAACTCACTGATGGGTTGGAGACTTGTCAGTTACCCTCAACTTGGGTTAGTCCATCTGCCAAGATGGCTTTACTGGGGCATGGTCACTGCACATGCTACAAGTTCTTGGCACTACAAATGAGAGTTGGATGTCAAGTAGATACCAAAGGTAGATGAGCACCCCTAAAAGAGCTTGGCAAGCCCTCACAGCAGAGGTGCTAGTCCTATCAATTCATACAAGGCATTAATATGGTTCAGTGGGAAGATAGCTGTATCTGGAGTCAGAGGATGGGTTCCCAGCTCAGCCATTTATGACCTATATGACCTTACAGAAGTCACCTTTTTTTTTTTTTGCTAGGCAATGGTGTTAAGTGACTTGCCTGGGGTCACACAGCTAGTAAGTGTTATGTGTCTGAGGCCAGATTTGAACTCAGGTCCTTCTGAATCCAGGGCTGGTGCTCTATCCACTATCACCTAGCTGCCGTCATTTACCTTTCTAGACCTCAGTCCCTCATCTTTAAAATAAGGGAGTGGGACAAGGTGATCTCTAAGGCTCCTTACACCTCTAAATCTATGACCCTCTGATCTATGAACAAATGCAAAGTAAGCTAAGTAGCACCAGGAAAAAGATATACACAATGACCACAAAAATGGAAATGGAAATATCAACAACAAAGAAGAAACAGAATCCTGTGTCATGAGAACAACCAAGCTGGGCCCCAGAGAAGAGCTGATCAAACTACTCACTTCATTGCAAATGTGGAGGACTATGGGTAGAGAATATTGGTATTGATTAGTTTTGCTGTTCTCCAACCCCCTCCCCCAACTTTCTTTTAAAATCTTTGTTACAAGGGATGGTTCATTGTGTTCAAAAATGATTGTTCTATAGAAACAAAAGGCATAAATACAAATAAGATAAAAATCTTTTACAATAGGCTACTGCAGATAAGAGATAATAAAAGCCTGATTTTTTAGGAAGCATCTCGGAGAATGCAGAGGGTTAGAAAATGCAGGCAAGGGAGATATTTTTGCATATTCAAATGAGGCAAGGAGAAGGGATAGGAAAATACTAATGAACGCAGTCCCAACTTGGAGGAGGTCAAGTTTCCTTTAAATTCAACTCCTTCTCTGCTGGTTACTATGTATAGAGGGGGCAGCTTCCTTAGCAACAGCTTGGTCTTTTAAAGGAGCAATAGCTGCAGTCAGCCATGGCTCCTAAGAAAAAAGGAGAGGGCAAGAAGAAGAAGAAGAAGAAGACAGAAATCCAAGCAGCTACTAAGGCCATCGAAGAAGTCGTAACAGAGACCCAGGAGTTCTACCACATCCAAATCCGGGACCTGGAGAATCGGCTTGACAGGTCAGTGAGTCAGGAGGCCCAGATAACAGCCAGCCAGGGTTCCACAGTCTGCTGGGGCAATGGGGGCAACAGACACTGGGCCCCTGGGAGGGAGGGGCTGCCCTCAGTCCCCCTCCTGCCTCTGGATATGGAGCCAAGAAGCCTAGCTCTGCCTCCAACTAACTCTGTGACCTTGAGCCAGTCTATCCCCTCACCCTGGGCCTCAACTTCCCCATCTATACAAATGAAAATGAAGGGGTTAGAATGGAGGGACCCCTGGGCCCTTTCAGCTCTAACAGTCTGACTAGCAGGGTGTTAGGGAGTCCAGGGAGTACCAGAGGCCAGCTCTGAGTACCAGGAAGCAGGAGTCCAGGGGTGGAGGGGTCACTGTGCTTGGCTCCTGGGAAGGCTCTGGGCCATGGTGGGAAATTGACAGTCTGACCTCAGGGTCGTCCAGCTCATCTTTCTGAGCCCTTTCCCACCACTCAGCAGCTCTATCTTCTCTGCCTAGGGTGACTGAGTAACCTCAGCTTTCTGAAAAGCTCATTCGTGTTGAAGTAATGGGGACTTGGCGTGTTAGCCTTCCAGTGGGGGATTTGAATTGTACAAGGGATGGGTAGGGCAATCCACAGGGATGGATTATGATTGATGGCACCTCAAGCATCAGTCATAGGCCACTGGAGAGTCTTTGGAAAGTGTGGTGCTGTCCTGCAATCACAGCAGGGAAGACACCTGCTCTTTTACATACACACAAATTCTTTGACTCTTTCCAAATCAGTTTGGCCCTGGCTTTGAAGAGTTCCATTTTGAAGAGTTCCATTCATAGCTCTATAATATTAAAGCCACATGTTGATCTCTGGTATACTTATGGCATCTTTGGACCTGCTATTTTCTTCTTGTGCTTTTCTCCCAGGAAGTAGGAAGAAAGCATCAATGACTCTATTTCCTACACATTTTGCTCATTGTCTCCTTCCTAACTGGGTAGGAAAAATCAGTAGGGGACCTGTAGACAACCTCTCTTGAAGCCTTATTCCCTTGAGCATCTTGTTCCAGCTCTTACAACCATATGGCAGGAAAGGACTTTGCTCCTCCAACCCTCACCTTCCTCCTTCCCCAGGTACAAAGAGAAGTGGGATGAGTTCTCCCAGCAGGACAAAGTGTTCCAGGAGGAGTTTAACCAGCTGGCCCACAACAAAAAGGAGGTTGTTTCCTTCCTGAAACGAACTCTTAACCAACGTGTGGATGAGATCGCTGACCTTAATTCTCAGCTTCAGGGGCTGCAGATCTCCAAAGAGATGGAGAAGGATGCCTTTGAGGCCCGGCTGGCCCAGGTACGCCATGAGTTCCAGGAGACCAAAGACCAGCTCACCATGGAGAATATCATGTTAGGTAAGGGAAGAGCTCAAATCAGGCAGGCCATTATAACATCTTCACTGAATGATTCCAAGGAATTCAGCCACCGACCTAGGCTACACCATGGATGAGATAGGAGGAAAAGGCAGATCCCTGACCTCAAGAGTGATTACTTATCTAGGTAAGGACTTAAGAAACACACAGTAAACCAGAAAATGTTAAATGCCAAACTCTTACTCAAAGAAGTAGAACTAGAAAATAATGAATGTGATCATTTAACAAATGTACCAGAACTTAGACATCTCAAGGGGTAGTGCCCTGTCAAAGTAATTCCCTTTGAGAAGCTGTGAGTTTATTTCAGAAAGGCTGCCATTGCTTAAATCATTTCTGGAATCCTCTTCAAGGATTGCCTTCAGGGCCACTTAATGAATAAAATTTAAAAAAATTAGTGTTTTTTAATTAATTAATTTATTTTTAGTTTTCAACAATCAGTTCCATAAGATTTTGAGTTTTAAATTTTCTCCCCCTTCTTTCTCACCTCCCTCCCTAAGACAGTGTGCAATCTGATATAGGCTCTACATATATATTCCTATTAAACATATTTTCACATTAGTCATGTAAATAAGAATTAGAACTAACAGGAGGAACCACAAGAAAGAAGAAACAAAACAAAACAGAAGAAAAAAAGAGCAAATAGTATGCTTCGATCTGCATTCAAACCCCATAGTTCTTTCTTTGGATGTGGATAGCATTTTCCATCATGAGACTTTTGGAGATGTCCTAGATCCTTGCATTGCTGAGAAGGGTTAAGTCTATCAAAGTTAGTCATAGCATAACGTGGCTGTTACTGTGTACAATGTTCTCCTGGTTCTGCTCACTTCACTCAGTATCAGTCCATATCAGTCTTTCCAGATTTTTCTGAAGTCTGCTTGCTCATCATTTCTACTAGCACAATAGTATTCCATTACATTCATATACCACAGCTTGTGATGGGCATCCTCTCAATTTCCAATTCTTTGCCACCACAGAAAGAGCTGCTATAAATAGTTTTGTACATGTGGGGTCCTTTTCCCATTTGTGTGATCTCTTTGGGATACAGCCCTAGAAGTGCTATTGCTGGGTCAAAGAGCATGCACATTTTTATCGCTCTTTGGGCATAGTTCCAAATTGCTCTCCAGAATGGTTGGATTAGTTCACAACTCCACCAACAATGTATTAATGTTCCAATTGTCCCACGTCTTCTCCAACATTTATTATTTTCCTGTTTTGTCACGTTAGCCAATCTGATAGGTGTGATGTAATACTTCAGAGTTGTTTTGATTTGCATTTCTCTAATCAATAGTGATTTGGAGCAAAAAAAAAAAATTAGTGTTGAAACAAAAGTCACATCTTGTTTGTGATCCCAAAATACATAATCTAGTCCAGTTACCATTTCTTTCATCAGACATAATTATAAATTACTTATATCTATTTTCATCCAAATTTCAAGAGATGGTGATTTGCCACCAATGAAGCTAACAAAAAGAGAGTCCTGCAATGTCTAAAGGTCAGCATGGCATGGTAGACCAGCATGGAATTAATTTGGAGTCAGAGGACATGGATATATATATCAAAGTTCCACTTACTACTAGCTGTATGACCTTGGACAGATCACATAACCTTTTCTGATCCTTGTTCCTCCATAAGATGAAGTAGTTAGACTAGATAAGCCTGTCTAGCTGTAAAGCTTATGGTCATAAATCATATAAAGAGACCTAGAAGGGATCTCAGAGATCATGTATTCCAACCCCCTCATTTTGCAGATGAGGCAATCGAGGCCCTGGGGAGGCTGAATGATTTGTTTAAGGTCACATAGGCAGTAAAGGTCAGAGCTGGGATTTGAACCTAGCTCTTCTGGCTCTGGAACTAGCTCTATTTCTGCTCATTAAGAGGAGTTTTAAAATCAATGTCCACATGAAAGAATGAAATTAAATGAATGAAAAAAGTGCTTCTTAAGCACTTACTATGTGCAAAGCACTGTTCTGTAAGTGCTGGGGTTACCAATGAGAAAAGAAGGCAGCTCTGCCCCTTTCTAATGGGAGAGATGACATGTATAGAACATAGCTGCAAGTCATGGAGAGGTCCCATGGTTCTTACAGTAGAGCATCAAAGTAGATGGTAACACGTTCATTACCACACACAAATCCATCTTTCATGTCATTTCCACTGATGAATTCCTATCAGTTTATGATCTAGAACCACTTGACAATGCCAAGGATTTGGGTGGCAACTTTCTTTTTTGGGTCTTCAGCAGCTGTGCTTGCAGCACCACCGGAAACAGTTACCAGACCACATCTACACAGGGGTTGCTTCCCAAGACAATGGCTGTGAGGGTTGGACTGGAGACAGGACAAGTGATCATTCAAATAAATGTACAGTTCCCCAAGGAAACCATTTTGAAGGGGACAGCACTCATTTGGATATTGAAGTCAATCAGCCACATCTTGAATAAGTGTTCTAGATTTCTGAAAAGGGGGAAGTCATGGTAGACTGGTCAAGAAAGGAGACAGTGGGATTTAAGCCAAGTCTTGAAAGATAAGTCTACTCTAAACAAATGGAAGAAAAGGAGAGAGGGCTTACCAAGGGGGAGGTTTCGATTGGCCAAAAACCAAAAAGTCACTGGGTATGCTAGGCAAAGGAAAGACTAAGAAGACTGCGTGAAGCAGAGGGTGTGAGTTAGGAAGCTGTGGCAAACATGGCTGGATCAGTTGGGCCGAACTAGGTCGCTGACAAGCTGGGAAGTAGTGGAGGTGGGCTGCTGAGAAGAATTCTGCCTGAGGAGCCTATGCCCAGGGGTGAATCATTCCACATGCTCCAGGCCACCCTCAGGCCAGTTGGAGACTTTTGAGGGTGCTGGGGCCTACTTCCTTACGTGTCTTTTCTGGACAGGGGGTAAGCTGGCTGCCCTAGAGGAGTTCCAATTCCAGAAAGCTGATCTCTTGGCCAAGTTTTCCCTTTTGGAGGATCAGCTGAAGAAGCAGCGAGATGACTACAAGTCGTATGTTTGCCACATGGAAAGGAAGGCTTTGATGGATAAAGAAAGGTTTGAGCCACCTATTGGTAACAGTGGGTTGGGGGATGGGAGTGGTGGGAGTACAGGATGGGGTGAAATAAAAGAGTGAGGGCTCTTCTCCTGGTATCTAAATGCCTCTGGAGGAGTGTTATTCACCCAGATCAGAGGAGATCCAGTAGGACATCTTGTCAAACAAGCTTAGGCAACTGAAATAGGAGTCTGGGGAAATCTACCTCTCAGTTTCTAGCTGTGTAACCTTGCATAAGCCTGTGTATATGCTAGGCCTCAGTTTCCTCATCCACAAAGGATTGGTATTGGCCTAAATGTTCTCTGGAGTTCCTTCTAGCTCTGATGGTCTAGACTGCATAACTCCATGACCAGTTTGTAAGGCATGAGATTGGAGAACAACAGAAAATCCCAGGGACTAAGAGAGACCAGCGGTTTTGGGGGGTTTTTTTGGCTTGAGGGAAGAGGGATCTGAAATTGAATTCCAAGAATACCTAAGGCCCTGGGCATCATACTAGTCCTTTTCTCTATTCCACAAAGACTTCGGAAGGACATAATCCATCGTATAAACACAGTGGCAGCTGAGTTTCGAAGGTTTTCTAGCTCCCAGATGGCAGAGACAACAAAGAGAGCTATTCGGGAGAACGTGACGGTGGCTCTGGGTCTGGCCAAAATAAACTCTGGAAACTTGGAGCAGATAAAGGAGAATAATGTGCTGAAAGAGTCGAAGGAGGAGCTGTGCAAACAGCTGGCCCTTCTGGAGAGAGATGAGAAGACCATGGCCAAAAACAGCCTCACTCACATCAAGGTAAGGCCTGCTGTGTCAGAAGTGAGAAGGGTTATGACGTGCATGTTCTAGAAGGAGGGCTTACCAGGGGACTGAATCCTTGATAAAGGTAAGGAAGCTGGGATAAGGGCAGAGGGAAGAGAGAATTTTTTTTTCTTTGGGACTAGCTCCCCTGCCCCCTCCTGCCATCAGCAGTGAAATAGAGTTAAAAGTGGGGAAGGGGTGCTATGGGAGACCAGGGTGAACAGGTAGAGAATCAGGATGAAGACTAGAAGAAATACAGTACTACCTAAACGAATGAAAGTAGGGGAGAGTGTGCTACGTCTTTCTTTTTTAATCTGCCCTAGTGCCTGGTACAGTGTTTGGCACAGAGCAGGCAGCTAACAAAAGTTTGCTAAAATCGAGCATCTTTAAAAACGAAAATTTACATCCAAGGTTTTGGTGGCTGCCAGGGAGCTGTCCACTACAGAGGTACTGACAGACTTCAAGTCATGAGAATAATCAGACTGTCCTTGAGAAACGCAAAAAGGGCCCCACCTCCTTTTTTCCTCTCTCTTCCATTCTTCCCTTTTCCCCTCTCCTTCTTCCCTTCTTCCATCTCCTGAAAGAGCTAGTGAGTTGGAAACTTCTTGGCCTGAAGATCTCCATGCCAGGAACCTTCCTAGCAGTCACATTTCAGTCTGAATTCATATTTCATGATGTTTCCATGCCATAACCTCTCTTATTTAAAGTTCTGGAACTCATTCCTAGGTCTTCTGTATTATTTCCACTTCTGGAAGCTTTCAATCACAATTTTTTTGGGGGGCGGGGGCATAGAGCTTTTTTAAAAACTTCCTCTTCTTCACAAGGCAGGTACTAGGACAGTATGGCCCTCCTTTGTCCTCCCACATTTCAAAACCACCTGTTAAACCCAAAGAGATGTCATGTGATTGGATGTATCTCACTGGAATGCATCCTCTTTGGTAATAGAACTATTTCTGTATAAAGATGGTTGATACCCTCAAGGAGCTTAGAAGCCTAGTTGGGGAGAAAGACTCATGAATTACATGTTAGAGAGTACAAGAGATAACTTTACAAGGCAATACAAGAGATGTCACAAGACAGCAAGGTGCTAAATAAACACTTCAGACAAATGAAAGGGAGAGCAGGGAGAAGATCAGGAAGGCCTGGGACCATCAGGAAATGCTTCACTGAAGTGGGACTTAAAGAGTAGTGAAGATTTGGGTAGATGGGGGGGGCCTTCTTTTAGGCAAGGGAAACAACATTCATTTGTTAAATATATGTATGCACACACACAGACACATATGTATTTAAATTATTATATACACTGGGGATGTGGAGAAAGCACAAGATGATTTGCTTCAACCCTGTAAACCACCTTGAGAAGATCCCAACCTACCCAGGGATGAGAGCAGGTCTTATTTGCTGCTTATGTAGTTACTGTCTCTTGGCCTCTCCTTTCTCCCCTAGGTGATCCAACTTCTTTCTGAAAAGTGCCAGGAGCAGCAGCATGCAGAAATTGAAGCTGACCAGCTTCAGATAATATTGAGTCAGGCAGAGATTGCTTTTCAGCAGGTGGAGGAAGATAATAAAGAGCTAAAGTAATATGACTTTACCCCTACTCCAGGGGAGTGAAGAAAAGGTGTGGGGTGGGTGGAAAATTCACCCCAATAAACTTAGTACTTAGCAGAAGAAGCCAGAGCTCTGTTCACATGGGGTAACTAACCAATGAATCCCCAAGTATTTATTGGGAGAATATTAGGATGGGGCCATGGAAAGGCCACTAACCTGGGAGTGGAGTGATCTGGCTCCCACCCTTGACCCCGTTACAAACTTTGCATGGCTTGAACACAGACACCTCCATTCTCTGGGCTTCTGTTTCCTCCTCTGGGATGTAAGAGACAGATACATGATCTCTTGATGTCGCTTCTAGCTCTAAGAATAACAATTTACTCAGAGGCAGTTCCAGACCAGTCTAGACACAGGGAGTGACCAAGCCATTTGTGTACTTCTCATAGTCAAGAAGCAGCATTGAGAGGTGTTGATCCTGACAAATGCAGCCGCTCCTGAGTGCAGCTCCTACTTACAGCCCACCATACTCCTCCTATCATCATCATCACCATATAATGAGAATCACGATGATAATAATTACAATAATGACGATGATGATAATGATAGTAATGATGGTGGTAATGGTGATAATAATAATATGATGATAGCTAGTGTTTATATAGTACTTGAAGGTTCTTTGTAGATGGTACTTCATTTGATCCTCACAATGACCCTGGGAAATAGGTGCTTTATTAGCCTCATTTTACAGATGAGGAAACTGAGGCTGAGAGAGGTTAAGTGACTTGCCCAGGGTCACACAACTAGGAAGTGTCTGAGGCAGGATTAGAACTTGGGGTCTTCTTACCTCCAAGTCCAGCACTTTATCTAGTGCAGGGTGAGGGGATACAGTGGTGGCAAGCCAGCCCCTCATGGTCCTCTGTTCCTGGATCCCCAGGAACAAGATAAAAAGCTTGAGGTTGCAACTGAATAGTCAGAAGACTGAGGGGAAGAGACTGAGAAGGGAGCTGGAAAAGGAAAGGGATAATCGACAAAGCCTGGAGGTTTTGCTGACCAAAGCCACTTGCCACCTCCAGGACTTGCTAAAGGTGAGTATGTAGACCCTTGCTTGAGGTGTGGCCAGTCAAGGCTAAGATCCCAGAGGAGAACTGTTCAATCACAAATATATACCATGCTCAGGAGTACCTGAGTTCAAATCCGGTCTCAGACACATAACACTCAGTAGCTGTGTGACCCTGGGCAAGTCACTTAACCCCATTGCCTAAAAAAAAAAAAGAAAAAAGAAAAAAGAAAATGTATACCACACAACCTGCCCCTTGGCAGGTTGTCAATGAGCAGATACTGAGTAACAAGGGGAGGACCCAACCCTTTAAACAAACTTAATGTTCCATCATGGCTACTCCCAGCAGCTCCAGTGGACAAAGTGCTCTCACATCCTTCATCTCATTTAGCTCTCACCATAACAGGGTAGGAAAGGGAAGCTCAAGGAGGCCTAGATTCTGCTGTCATCTCTGCCATTAACTCTCCGTATGACTTTGGACAAGTCACTTCTTGTCTAGAACCATAGAATGCTAAGGGTGGAAGGAGCCTTAGGGATTATCGTTTAATTTCTCCATTTTGCAGATTAAAAAAACTGGGTCCCAGAAATAGGGAGTGATTTGACACATGTCACAAAGCATGTCATGTTCCATCTCTTGCCCTCAGTTTCCTCATGGGCCACAAGGAGATAACCCTGGTCTGGGGTGCTAATCCAAACACCCGAAGTGGTAAATCACTGTGTGTGAGATGGGTTCTGAGTTTCACTACTGTAATACTCATGCAGACCCGTGCAGATGGAAGCAGGTGGAGTGGGGGAGTTGGGGAGAGCTCATAGGGCCAAACGTTAGGCTTATCTTCCTTCTGATTCCCATTCCCCAGGCACACCCTGAGAAAACCGAGGCTTGCAAGATAGACATCTTGTTCCAGCTGGGGAGGAAGGAGATGCTTCAGCAGCTGTTGGATATGCTGAATGAGGCTGTGGTGGTGGGGCCCCATATCCCTGAGTTTGTGCCTCCCCCAATCAATTCCCCCTCAATCCAGTCCTTGATGACTACTGAAGAGAGGTGAGTGGTGATCTGGCTTTAGAGTTGTCGTTAAGGAGGAGAGATTTGGGCTGGGTCTTAAAGTATGCACAATTGGGGGAGAGGGGTCTTACAGGTGGGCTCCTTTTGGGGGTCTCCTTAATCCTCCTTCCTCTCAGTTTTAAGCAGCCTGAGCCCCTACCTTTGCTCCAGCAACTGGCCAACATTCAGCCTTACAGGATTGGGGACTTGGGCCTGGTGCCTCATCCACCCTCAACCACCGAGGATGGCCAAGATGCTGCTACGTTCAGAAATCTTAGATCTGTTAAAGCCTTCAGCAACCCTGAGGTGAGGTGGAGCATGAGGTCGAGGACATAAAGGGAGGACCCTCCCAGAGGCAGCTGTTTCCTGATATGTGGAAGGGATGGGGTGAAGAGGCAAGAGGACAGAGCTCAGGCCTCTCCCTTTCCCTGAATTTTTCTTTTCCAGATTCCAAGACCTCAAATTTTGAGAGAGATCAAGCAGGTCAGCATGCCGGCTTTCCACCTGTACCCCAGTGTGGAGGGACAGCAGGAATAGCACCACCTTCCCCATTCCTTGGCCCTGTGTTCTAGCAAAGGGGGAAGTGAAAGAAGAAATGCATGAAGAAGAAATGCAGGCTTGGATCTTGGTGGCCTCATCTTTATTTCCTGGGCAAGGGTGGGAGAGAAGGTAAATGCTTTATAAAATGGTTATTACACAGGAATGGAAGAGAATCCATGCTGGTGCCTGAGCCCTTCCCCTCCCCTGCCCTTGAGCTAGAAGCCCTGGTGCCTGCCCATGATATGGTGCCAGCTGAGAACCCTCTAAGGCAAGGAGATCCTGCTTTTTCTTATAGGGGCCCAAGACTGCTTCACGAGACACCTCTCTGCCAACCCATTCCAGATTGGGTCAACCATTAAACACTGATGAGCCTCTTCCCAGGCCAAAAGGATGGAAGGAACTCTTCATGAAGCTCCAATGGGCAGAGAGAGTTTGGAGGGACCTTCCATTGATGAGCCATACTTCCCCATAAAAAAGGTCTGGGCCAGGAGAGAGGCCCCTTCTTTCAGCCTCCTTCAAAACCTTACCTGAAGCCTGAGGTCTCTACATGGAGGGTAGCCCCTGGGCAAAGGTGTAGCACCTAGAAATGTCAGGATAGGTAACACCACATTGTCTCAGGGAGGGCAAAGGAAAACAGACACTTGAGGTGAATCAGCTAATGAAGGACTGTGACTCTTCTGTGATTCCTTTCAAAACAAACCCAGAAAGACCGAGTGTCAGAAATCAGAGCATATATAAGGAAGGGAGAGGACAGGTGCTTCACTGTCCGCATCAACCCAACTCCTTCCCTGGCACCGCCCCTCCCAATCAACCACTTGTTAAATGCCTCCTATGGGCCCAACACTGGACTAGGGGCTGGGGCTGCAAGAATGGAGCAACCCTTCCTCACAAGGAGCTTCCATTCTAATGGAGGGCACTGCCAGGAAACTGCACACCTGGTGGTTTCTCCTCCCAACATCACCATGAGGTAGGTGGAGAAACAGTTATTGGTCATTTGATAGGTGGGCAAAGTGAGATCCAGATTGGGGGAGGTCTCAAGGCCGGCCCCTTGTGGAACAAAGGCAGAACTCTGGTAGGGTCCTGCCTCTCAGGGTGGGGAGTGGGACCTTAGGGGTCTGAATCCTTCGCGTCATGGATTGCTTGGCTTCCTACATAGTCTCTGCTATGAAGCTGTTTGTCTGTCCCATGAGGCATCACAATGGATGGATGTCTTTGATACTAGCTCATACATCTTGTCTTCTCAGAGAGACAGAGGGTTGTGGCGAACAAAGGGAGCAGAGACTTCAGTTCCAACTTTACCCTCCACATCCCATCTCAAATGCTGAAAACCCTACACTCTATGTATGCCCCTTTGTTGGTGACCTTTTCCTGGGGGCTGGGGGACACAGTAACTAATTAAAGTAGCTCCTCTTCCCTTGAAGGACAAGGGGGGCCTTGCCTAATCCTTGCTCTCTCACTAGCCTGGCCCCCAATGTGCCCATCTGGCATTTATGAGCTGTAGTGGGGTTTGAGGAGCTGCAACAGTTGGCCTTCCTGAGGTGCACAGGAGCCCCATCTACACAGCCCTGGTGCTTCTTTCTCTGGAGTCCCACTTGGGAGGCAGTGTGATTCGGTAGAAAGAACACTGGATTTTGAGTTGGAGGATCTGGGTTCAAATCTCGACTCTGCTACTTACCTGTGTAACTTTGAGGCTCCTTCTAGCTCTAAATCTACCACCCTGTGAATCTACTTAATATTCTGTTGCCAGGACAGCCGGTAATGCTGATGGCGTCAGGCATCACGCCTGATGGCTGCCTATAGTTGTCCAGGCTGTCTGCTCTAACCAATGACACTCAGAAAAAAACAGTAAGAAGCTGGCCACAGGGAAATCAAGACCATGTGACTCCCCTAAAAAAATCATAACACAAGCGCCTTACGCTTACACAGCCACCTTGAACTTTCCTGAGAGCGTTCACATCCACTGTCTCATTTCAGTTCAAGGTCTAGAGGCAGCTGGGTGGCCCAAAGGATAGATAATTGGACCTGGAGATGGGAAGACCTGGATTCAAATTCTGCCTCAGATGCTTCTAGCTGTGTGATCCTGGGGAAATCACTTCACCCATCTCAGCTTCAGTTTCCTCATCTGTAAAATGGGGATGATAATAGCACCTACCTCCCAGGGTGGTTGTAAGGATTAGATGAGATAATATTTGTAAAGCATTTTACAAACCTTAAAGCACAATATAATGCTAACTATTCCTATTACCGGGGGCAGCTAGATGGTGCAGTGGATAGAATGCCAGGCCTGGAGTCAGGAAGACCTGAGATCAAATCTGACCTCACACACTTACTAGCTGGGCAAGTCACTTAACCCCGTTTGCCTCAGTTTCCTCATGTGTAAAATGAGTTGGAGAAGGACATAGCAACCACTCCAATATCTTTGCCAAGAAAACCCCAAATGGGGTCAATGAAGAGTTGGACACAATTGAACAATTACTATCATTATTACTATGTCTTCAAAGACCTTACAATTTACTGGGGGAAGGGGACATACAACATGCACATAAATGAGCAAATATAAAGTAATTTCGGGGGGGGGTTGCATTAATCACTAGGGGATCAAGAAAGGACCAGTATAGAAGGTGGCACCTGAACTGAATCTTGAAAGGAGCTAGAGATTCCAGGAGGCAGAGGGGAGTGGGGGGGCGGGGCACTCCTAGCACAGAGGACAGCGTGGGCAATAGCCTAGAGGTGAGAGATGGACTATCTCACACAAGAAAGAACAAGTAAGCCAGTTTGGCTGAAACATGATAGAAAACAATGTAAGATCAGCCTAGAGAGTGCTGGAACCAATCTGTGAAGGACTTTAAGTGCCCATCGGAGGGATCTAGATTCTATCTTAGAAGTACTAGGAGGCCAGGAGCTTCTTGAACAATGGAATGAGAGCTGTTTTAGGATTGCTGGTTTGGCAGCTATATGGAGTCTGGATCGTGAGAACAAAAGCACAGGAAGATCAGTTAGGAGGCTATTGCCAATAGTGATGATGGACTGATCCTTTGATCCTCATAATAACCTTAGGAGGTGGACAGGGATTATCATCTCTACTGTAGTATTGTATTATCTATTGACAATAAACATTCACTATTGAGACCCAGGAGTATTCATATGGCTTTACCAAGTTGGGTCTAGAACTCAGGACTCCTGAAACTCAGGTCAGGCATCTTTCCAGCATGTTAAAAGGACCCTTCAAGAAGAACCAGAATGGAGACCCGTACCCTTGTCCCTTGGGAATTTCTGCACCCAGATATTTCTTTCCCTTCTCCTTTCCCAAACACATCGGGTGCCATCCAAGGGTTGGTCTTGCTCCTTTCAAGCTCTTCCATCGTTATCAATCAAAAAGTCATTCCTGACAACTTCACATAAGCCAGTCCTGTGCTAGGCACTGTAAGGTAGAAGGAGGAAAGGGCATGGATCCTCAAGCAGTTCTCTATCTGGCTGGGAAGAATGTATGTATGAATGAATGAATGAATGAATGAATGAATGAATGAATGAATGAATGAATGAATGAAAAAGCATTTAAACTCTTACTGTGTGGCAAACATTGGGCTGAGGATACAAATGCAATCATGACAGTCCCAGCCTTCAATCAGAGTGCAGGGTTGCAGGCGTGGGAGTCCGAATTCCATAGGTGGCAGGGGGTGGGGTGGGGGAAGGAGAGTCAAAGTGCAGACAGCATGGTTTGAAGAAGAAGGTTCACAAAGAAAGAAAATAACAGCATTTCTATAGCACATTTCACATGTCTCACAACAAGCCTGTGAGGTAAACGCTCCCCACTTTAGATTAAGAAACTTAAGGCTAAGAAACATTAAGTGTCCAGAGGCCTCTAGAAAACAACAGTGCACAAGACAAGATGGCATACAATTAAGGGCTGAATTTTGTGGAACAGGAAGAGTTTAAAGGGATAATCAGCTGGCTATACAAGAGTGCAAGGGTTGGATTGAGAATCCTCCTCTTGTGGGGCAGTATGCACTGGGAAGACAGACTGCCATGTTGTGTAGGGTGGTTCAGAGAGAGAGAACATAGGGAGAACAGCTGGAATGTTGCATAGTCCAGGAGTGAAATAGCACAGGCTTAAAATTTAGAGAAGGTGAATGTGGAAATGAAGAAAATAGAATATATGCTAAGGAGTGTATTTTTGCCTTTCCAGGTGAGTAGGAATAATAATAATGAAGCAGGGTGTGGGGGTTGATGCAGTTTTCTCTGATGCTAGGCTAGAAGTATCGCTAAAAGGTACAATTTGGGGACCATCAACTCTGCCTCCCCTCCTACCCCCAAACACAAACTGGGCTCCTTGCTAACTTTCCAGGTTCAAAGGCAATCTAGCGAGCATGCTCTAGAATAATCTCAGAAATTAATAAAAAAATTTAAAACTCTCTAAACTTGAGCTCCCATTTTTCCACATACGCTGCCCCCCCACAAATTCATAGATTATACAAGACACTGCTAATGGTCATGTAATTTGTTAGCAGTTTAAAATAGTATTGAAAATAGGCATTAAAACAATACATAGCAAGCTGCAATGACATTATCATTGATGATTTCTTTCTTTCTTTTTCCTTTGGCACCATTTTTCCTCACTCATCAGAGGAGGATGGGAAGAGGTTAGCCAGGTAAAGGAAGTCTGGAGCTTCCCAATACAGCACTCCAGGGAAGGAGTGGGGAGAAAGAAGACAGAGGCTAGGCATCATTAGCTCTCACTGACCAAAACTGCTAGCTTGACCTTATCTGTCCCCAACCCTAACACTTGACTCTAGTCTGCTCCTATGCAAAATCCTGTGCTCTCCCTCAAATCTCTTCACCTTCACACCCCCTCCACCAGGAGATCTCAGGTTACACTTACCCTGCCCTAGATTGTAAGGCGTATCTTACACCTATCCCGTAGCTTCCATGCTTCAGTAGAAGCTTGGAAACCATCATGGCCTGTGGTCCTCTTCTGTCTCAATATTGTTGCCCCAAAAATCTCGTGTGGAAGGACCCTTCAAGATCACCAGAATGAAGAAAATTGAGGGCTATCCCTTTGTGCCTGTGTGCATTCCAGACCCCTAAATATGTCCTTCGGTCCTCTATCACTTCAATGGGAGGGTGTCCGGGTTGGGATTACAGGAATTCCCATTCATGTGACAGGAAGCTGTAGACCTGGGTTCTAGTTGCACTTCTGACACATACTGGCTGTGTGGACCCGGGCAAGTCATGTAACTGATTAGGGAGCTCTCTAAGATTATTAATTGCAGAGCAGGTACTGACTTGAGTTAGTAAATTTTCTCACTAGGAGTTCCTTTAGACCAATGAAATCACACATCTGAGCTTAAAAGGAGAGAGAAGAAATTTATATAGCACTTTAATATTCTCAAATCCTTTCTTTATCACAATCCTGTGGGGTCAGAAGTTAAAAGTGATGAGTAAAGCCAAGTCCAAGCCCAGGTACTGATCTGAGAGGGGACGGGGCTCCTTTAAATCCATCTCCTTACTCTTGGCCTGTTGCTATGTATGGGACTTGTGTGGGGGTGGGGAGCAGCTTCCTTAGCAACAGCTTGGCCTTTTAAAGGGGCAGCAGTAGCCAAAGCCTTAGAAGTCCTAGCCACCATGGGGCCCAAAAAAGGAAGTGGGGAGTTGCAGAGAAAAGGAGGTGGGGAAGGTGGGAAAAAGAAAGGCAAGAAGGGTGATCCACTATCGCCTAAACCAACAAAAGAGGTCATCACGGAGGAGATCCGCAAGTTTTATCAAATCCAGATCCAGGACTTGGAGAAGAGGATCGTTCAGTCAGTGAGCCGGGAGGCCACAGACAACAGCCAGCCAGGGTTCCACAGTCTGCTGGGGCAATGGGGGCAACAGACGCTGGGCCTCTGGGAGTGAGGGGCTGCCCTCGGTCCCCCTCCTGGCTCTGGTGGGAAGAGCTCTGGATATGGAGCAGTCTATCCCCTCACCCCAGGCCTCAGCTTCCCCATCTATACAAATGAAAATGAAGGGGTTGGAATGGATGGACCCCTGGGCCCTCTCAGCTCTAATGGTCTGACTAGCAGGGTGTTAGAAAGTCCAGGGAGTACCGGAGGCCAGCTCTGAGTACCAGGAAGCAGGAGTCCAGGGGTTGGGGGGTCACTGTGCTTGGCTCCTGGGAGGGCCCTGGGCCATGGTGGGAAATTGACAGTCCGACCTCAGGGTTGTCCAGCTCGTCTTTCTGAGCCCTTTCCCACCACTCAGCAGTTCTATCTCCTCTGCCTAGGGTGACTGAGTAACCTCAGCTTTCTGAAAAGCTCATTCATATTTAAGTAATGGGGACTTGCTGTGTTACTCTTCTAATGAGGGATTTGCATTGTAAAGGGATTGGGGATGGGGGTGGGCAATGCCTAACCCAAAGAGCTAAATGGAGTCATAAACCAGATATTTTGGGGAAGGATGGACTTCTTGGTGCTGTTCTCAAATACCATCACATAAGTGGCTATTTGATATTTATGTAAATCTGATTTAGCTCAATTCTTTCAAAATTTGATTCTAAAATATGTATTGAAGTGCTCCCCTCCACCAATAGTATCTGTTTTGTAATTAATCATAACATAGATTTTGAATGCCCCTAAAACAGGACTCAGAGGGAGCTTATTCGAAGTTTTCCCCAGAAAGGTAGAAACAACAGTCATGCTTCCAGCCTTTAGACTTTCTGCTCAATGTCTCAGACTCCCGGGGCTTTTCTCAGCCAGCTCTGGGTAAGTCATCCAATTCAGCCCCCCTGAAACTCCTGACCCCTTACTTCTCTAGGTATCAAAAGAAATGGGATGAGGTGATGGTGAAGGATAAACTCTTCCGGGCTAAGTTTGAAAGCTGGCTCAAAATAAAAAGGAAATTGTCTCCTTCCTCAAATGTTCCCTCACCAGCGAGTGTTTGAGATCACAGACCTCAATGAACAGCTTCAGGGGTTGCAGATCTCCAAGGAGATGGAAAAGTTTGCCTTTGAGGCCCAGCTGGCCCAGGTTCGCCACGAGTTCCAGGAGACTAAAGATCAGCTCATCTCGGAGAATGTCTCGCTGGGTAAGGGAAGGGCCCAAATCAATCAGTACATCAACACATCTTTACTGAGCACCATTTATGTGCCCAATCCTGGCTAGGCTACACCTTGGAGGTGACAGGAGGAAGAAGAGACACTGTCGGTGCCTACCTTTGGTGAGCTCATAGTCCAGGTGGGGAGATAAGATGTAGTCATAGTGTACTGACAAGGCAAGGTGACTAGAAGTTAATGGGACTTTAACAAACTGACCAGAACCTAGACATCCCAGAGAGTGTCTTCCTTCCTTCTTTCCTTCCTTCTTTCCTTGCTTCCTTCCCTCCCATCCTTCTTTCCTTCCTTTCTTCCAAACTCCAGTATAGTCACTTTCAGCTGGGAGGGATGAGACAGTTTCATTGAGGAGATAGCATGTGATAGAACCTTGAGAGGTTAAGATGTCAATATGGGGCAAATGGGGTTGGGTAAAGCCATCCTACGTATATGGAGAAAGGTGAATAAAGATGGAAGACAGGAACATAGGACATGTTCAGAGGCCCGTAACTGTCCACTCTGGCTGGAACATAAGGTATCTGCAAGAAAGCAGTGTTAATTAGGGCTAAAAAGGTAGGGTATTGGATCTTGAATGTCAGATTATAGACTCAGCAGGCAGTGGGTAGTCATTGAAGGCCTTTAAATTCAAGAGTGTGTGATAATACCTATAGGCATTCCAAAGAGGCAGCCTTAGCTCAAAACATTTCTGGAATCCTGTTTGGGAGCTGCCACCAAGAACCAGTTTATGAGTCAGAAAATGAGCTTTAATGATTTGAGAATCACACCCTATTTGTGATCCAGCTCAGTCGCCCACATTCATCATCGGACTTGGCTATGAATGACTCACGGCTGATTCCAAAAATCAAATCTACCACCCAAGGAAGCTCATTATGTTCCCTTTCTGCTAAAAAGTCAAGAAAGCAGAGGCAGAAGGTGGTGTTCTTTCTTCTGATGAAGCCTATAGTATGCCGGTGCTCATCTTAATGGAAGATGTGAAAGCCCAATTAGCATGGTTTTTTTTTCCAAACTACAGATGCAGTCATTTCAGTAAAAAACCTAATGTCACATGACACTGTTTGTAAGGGAAGGCAGTGTGGCGCAGTGGATAGAGTGGTAGAGTTTGGAGTCAAGAATACAAGTTCAAATCCAACCTCTGACACTTCTAGTTGTATAACCTTAGTCTCTCAGAGCCTCAGTTTCCTCATCTACGAAATGGGGCTAATGGATTAGTTCCTATCCCACAGGGTTGTTGTGAGGCCAAAATGAGATAGTGTGTACAAAGTGCTATGAAAGCAGGTGGTGCAGTGGATAGGGCACCGGGCCTGAAGTCAGGAGGACCTGAGTTCAAATCTGGCCTCAGACCAAACACTTGACACTTACTAGCTATATGACCCTGGGCAAGTCACTTAACCCCAATTGCCTAAAAAAAAAAAGAAAAAAGTGTTATGAAAGCATCAGGTGTTATTACACAGGACTGAACTCTTCAAATTTTCCTATGGTACTTTGTCTATATCTTCTTATACCCTCTACCCTTATCTTATCTCATGCCTCTTTGTATAATTGTTGCTCTCTCAGACTGCTTACTATTTGAAGGCTGGAACCATGTTGATGGTTTTTTCTTTGTTTTCCAGTTCCCAAGATAAATGTCTTTCATATTTTTTTTCTTGAGGAGGTGGAGGAGACACGCCTGTCAAAGGGACAAGCAGTCAAGAAACATTTATTAAGCACCTGCTATGTGCCAGACACTGGGGATATAAAGACAGAAATTAGATAGTCCCTGCCTTTAAGGAGCTTACATTTTTCTTTTCTTTTTTTGGTGGGGCAATTGAGGTTAAGTGACTTGCCCAGGGTCACACAGCTAGTAAGTGTCAAGTGTTTGGTCTGAGGCCAGATTTGAACTAGGTCCTCCTGACTCCAAGGCCGGAGCTTTATCCACTGTGCCACCCAGCTGCCCCTAAGGAGCTTACATTCTAACAGGGGAGATAGCATGTACATACATAATACAGAATATGTACAGAATAACCACAAGGTAGTTTTGGGAGGGCGGGTACTAGTAGCTGGGATGGCTGGGATGTAGAAGATGGCACTAGAACTGAATGGAGGAACTCCTTGTATAGAAACTCCCTCTGCCTACAACTCCTTTGTCATTTAATGGCATTCTGGAGATGCCTGGTAGCACTGACCCATTCACTGTCACACAGCTAGAATGGGCTTGGTAGGACGAGTTCAGGTAGCCCTAGCTCCAAGGCTAGCCCTCTATCTACTATGCTGAGCTATCACTCATCTTGCACACAGAAGAGACTTAATAAGTGTTTATTGATTGATTGTTTGTTGAAAGAATAACGGTATGCCACCATTGAGGTTATTTAAAAAGAATGGGCCAAAGAGAAAAATCATTCCGAAAGAGAAGCTCCCAAGTCCAATCTCGCAAAGGGACCACTTTGAAGGGGGATAGCACTCATTTGAATATCTAAGTTATGGTCTGTTTGTTAAACAATCATTCTTATATGTTATAGTTGTGTTTTACAGAAATGCTGTAGGATTTCTTACAAGGGAGACATCAGTGTGCAATGGAACAAACAGGGAGGCCTTGGTGGGAAGAGGTGGGATTTGAAGTGGGTCTTGAAAAATGAGTAAAATTTAAATAAACGGAAGGAAGGAGGGAGGGTGGTCCAGGAGGAGGGCTCTGCATGAGCAAGGGCTGGGAAAGGTTCTTACAGGGAATCATTGTTCTGTGCAAGGAACAATATAGGTAGGCAGCCTAGATTAGAGGAAAGCACCTTGAACTTAAAGTCAGTGTGCCAGACTTCAAATATTGTCTCTGACACTTAGTAGCTGTGTCCATGGATAATTCACTTAAATTTTCTTTCTGTTAGTTTCCTCACAGGCAAAATGAGGATAATATTACTTAAATTTCCTATACCACAAGATTCTTGTGGGCAAAGCACTTTGTAACCCTCAAAGTGCTCTGTAAATGGGAGTTATTAAGAATGCAGATGACGACTTGGGGAGAGCAGAGGATGCATGTAGCAGAGCTGTGGGAAATAAGCTTGGATCCATAAGATGCAGGTCACAAAAGAGCTTCAGGGGAGGGAGAGGGACAGGGGGTAGTTCTGGAGGTGCGGGCCTTAGGAACATCTATCTAGAGGCAGAACACTGCACACCCCTCTCACGCCACCCTCCCCAGGCCTGTTGAAGTCCTTTGGGAATGCTGGGGTCTGCTGACTCACTGGGACTTCTCTGGGCAGGGGGAAAGCTGGCTTCCCTTGATGAGTACCGGGTCCAGAAAGAAGAACTCATGGCCAAATTTGCCATGCTGGAAGAACAACTGAAGAAGGAACACGATGAGTACAAGGACTGGATTTACTGCCTGGAGAAGGATGCTGTGTTAGAAAAAGACAGGTCTGAGCTCCTCAATACTTGGCCTCTCTCCCAACCCTATAAGGGCTAGGAAGGGCAATGACGCAAGGATCTCCTGGGCATCCAAAAGAGTCTGATTTCATTCACTCAGACCTAAGGTCTGGGTTCCTCAACTCAGAAGCACTTCTGAGTGATTGATTACCACCTTTATTAGCTGTTTGACATTGCACAAGTCACTTCCCCTCCCTTGGCCTCAGTTTCCTCCTCTGTAAAAGGAGGGTGTGGGACTAGATTTCTAAGACTCCTTCCAGCTCTGCTGATGTCCAGTTTAGCAAGGCACTGGGGAAAGGGAGTGAGGGATCCAAGATCACAGAATGTGGTTTGGGAGAGGGAAGGTATTGGAAACTGCCTTCTGGGCATATCTAGGACTCTGAACCCTAGGAGGACTCCCTCTCCATCTCCCCAAACCGCAGACTGAAAAAGGAAATAGTCCAGCGAGTGAACAAGGTGGCAATCGACTTTCGCAAGGTGTCCGCTCTCCAGATATCAGAGACAACCAAGAAGGTAATCCAAGAGAACATGGCAGTGACCACAGAACTGGCCAAAGTGTCCAACCAAAGTCTACAGCTATTCGACGAGAATGAGGACCTGAAAGGAGTCACGAAGGAGATAAGCAAGCAGCTGGACTTGCTGGAGAGCAACAAGAAGATGATGTCTAATGATAGAATGAGTCGCCTCAAGGTAACATCTAGCCTATCAGAGGCTGCCTTGCCTTGGGGGCTTGGGAGCCAGGGACTCTAACATCTTTGCCTTTCCCATGGGATCTGAATTCATCCCTTGTAGAAATGAGAAGACCGTGGGGAGGGTGGATTGTGGGGAGTGGAAACATTTTGGGGGAATAAACATTCTCCTTCTCCTCCCACCCCTCATGGCTTATTTCTTCCTGAGAATGGTGGTGGGGGGGTAGGGCAGGGAATTTCACATATTTTTCCTTGGATTTCTCTAGGCCTTTACAATTCTAAATGTATTAGGCATGATTATTTTCTGTGTGTTCAGTCCTAAGCTAAAGAGAGTGGGGGAGCTGTCCAATAAAGACGGGGGATGGGTAGACTTAGAAAGAGGCAGCTCTGGCCCACCCTTTGCTAACCTCTTCACTCTACCACCTTCCTCTGTGGCCTTCCCTTTTCTATACTTCCTTCTGATGTAGACCATTCTAGACAGAGGGCATGGGTAATTCACTTGAATAAAAATGTAAGGAGAGGGAGGGAAAGCCTATCATGTGACTTCCCCACAGCAGTGAAACTATCTGGAGAAATACGAAGGACTTGGGGGAGCAGGGTATGGGAATGGGGTGGCCTGTAGGAACCTGTAGGGGCAGAGCGGCAGCCCTTTCCCATTGGTCTGTATGTCACCCATAAAGCCCATCATCACATCTTCTTCCCCACAACAACCTACACAGATAGATGGTGCAGTGGATAGAGCACTGGACTTGGAGTCAGGAAGACCCGAGTCCCAATTCTGCCTTAAATGCTGTCGCTTAACCTTTGCCTCAGTTTCTTCATCTTTATGTATCTCTCTGTATAAAGTGCTTTGTAAACCTTAAAACGCTATGGAAATGCTAACTGTCATTATTACCACCCTAGCTGATATGGTTTCTGGCCAAAAAGTGTGAGGAACAGCAGCAGAGAATGGAAGAAGCTGCAAAGATAAGGGCCATGCTGGAGCAGGTGGAGATGGCTTTCCAGCAGTTGCAGCAGGACAACCAAGACCTGAGGTAGGCCGCCCTCATTCAAGGGGTCTGGGCCACTGAAAATTCAACCCAGGGAGTTAGGCACTTAGTGTCTGAAGCCAGGGTTCCAGCCCTGCCCACCCAGGGTGCTGACCAAGTGAGGCTTCTGCAAATTACAGTGAAAGGCTTTACATGTCCTAACATACATGTTAAATAAAAACTGGGATTGGATGTCAAGGACCTGTGGTTCTAGCCCTGGCTCTGTAATGTCACCTCTCTGATCCTCAGTCTCTGCATCTGTAAAATAAAATGGGAACGGGTAAGCATGACCGAATGGCCTCTTGAGGCTGTTCTCCTCTTGAAATCAGAGATTTTGGGGAAAAGATTATCTGGTTGTTGGAGGAGCAATCTAAGCAATTCTAGGATAATACAGTCCTGCCCTAGGCCTCCCTCCTTTACACCTGGACTGGGAGGGATTGGGGAAGTGGGTGAGCAAGACTCCATGATCCCTCATCTGACCCTCCCCAGGAATGACGTGGAGAAGCTACAGATGAAGCTCAGGCACAACCAGGTGAAAGCAAAAAAACTGACTGAGGAGCTGGAAAGGGAGCAGAAGCAAAGTCACAGTGTGGAACAGGTGCTGACCCAAGCCAGATTCCTGCTCGGGATCTACTGTCGGTGAGGCTTCCCTGCAAGGGACAGCAACCCTGGCCACAGGCTAATGGCCATGAGGGGTGGTCTTCTATTAAGAACAATTGATAAAATCATGCTTCCTGCCTCTTGGCAGAGGTGAGGGACTATGGTAATGGTGTTAAACTTAAATAGAAACAAATCCCCGCTGGCCTCATATCAACCTAGAAAACCACAAATCAACATTATCTATGTTGTGTTGTATGTTTATTTTATTAAACATTTTCCAGTTACATTTTAATGTGGTTCATTGAGCCAGTTTGACACTTCTAGACTGCAGGTTCAGGATGAGACAGCCAATGAACAGATGTTTTGCTTGATTTATTTTATTTGTAAAAGGGAGGGCTTTTATTTGGAGGCGGAGTTAGTAATGATACACACAAGATACACACACACACGAAAATAACATCAATGGCACTTTTAAAAAATACAGAGAGCAGAAGGGAACTTCAGACAATTAGGGCAGAGTTGGAACATGTTCAATCTGAAACATGAATTTAAAACTTGCTTTCCTCACATTGGAGATCTGTAGTTTCATATATAGTCCTCTTTTTCTGTTCTCCCTATGGGGAAATGTTCATGTTTGTTGATGTGTGGCAAGATCCTCGTGATAAAGTTTGTTTTTGGCAAAGCAATAAGGTAGTTAACACTTTACACTCCCAAGCTGTAGCTAGCCTCTCAGGGAGGACCTGGGGCATACAGGCCATATATATAGATATATGCTTTACATATGCAAGGCCCTACTTTAACTACAGCCTCATTTTACATTCATTTCCAAATAAACAGGGTACATTGGTAGAATTCCCTGAAGGAAATGCAAAGTTTATGAGCTTCAGAGAGATAAAGTGACTGTTCTGGCTAGGCCAATGGCTGGTTAATCCAGCCAGACACTTTTGTACTCTGATTCTGTCTCTGAATTTAGGAATTTTCACTTCACAAAAGGAATCACTACAAATTGCCTTTCAGTATAGGACTCAGCAAAAATGTATTTGCTTTGTTTTATTTTCGAAAGTCCAGCCTGGGAGTCAGGAGCCCTGGGGTCTAGTCCTAGCTCTGCTGTGTGATCTTGGACAAGTTGCTTTCTCTCTCTGGGCTTAGTCTCTTCCTGCCTGCCCCTACCCCTTTCCCCTACCCTCCTGCCCAGGGTGGTTCGAGTGGTCAATGTAAGGAAAGCACTTTGGGGCCAAAATCAATGGGCTGCATACATAATTGCAGGGTCAGGATGCAACACAGCTGGAGTTTGTGTGTGTCTGTGTCAAGCATGTTCTGACCTCCTCTTATACCTTTGACTTGCCTCCCCCAGATGCACCCTGAACCCTCTGAGGATGGCCAGTTGGATGTGCTCTTCCAGATGGCGCAGAAGGAGACGCTGCACCAGCTGATGTCCGTACTGAGCCATGCTGTGGTCCTCGGGCCACATGTGGCTCAGTTCATCAGACTCCAACAAAAAGCTCATGGCTTTTCACAAAGACACTGCAGCAGAGGTGAGCAGTTACCGACAGTACTATTATTAATGATTCACATTCATATTGTGCAATGAGGTTTGCCCAAGTGCTTTACCAAATTTCAGAGGTAGGTTGTCTATTATTATCATCATTTTACAGAAGAGGAAATTGGGTCCCTATAAGATTGAGTGACTTTACCCATGGTCACACATCTAATAAGTATCTGAGGCAGGATTTGAACCATATTAGTTTCCTGACTCCAAGTCCTGTGTTATAACTACTGTACCACACTGTCCAGCCTAGTCTAAAAAGAGATCACTAGGGGATAGAGTGGTGCTCAAAAATCTTCATGGGAGAGGGATTCTCAATGGCCTTTAAAGGATGCCAAAGGGTGGGTGGGGGCAGGGGCTGTCACCGTTGCAGTATCTGTTCCTTTGCTGGACTTCATGGCCCTGACTTGTCACCCTCTCAGATGTGAGAACTTCAAACCCATCCATCAGCTGACCAAGAGCATGCCGTATAGCCTGTCGGGCCTGTCAACCCACATCCCCTTCAACCCAAAAGACATCCAGATATTATCCCAAACCACTCGTCTCAGAAATTTCAAGGTATCTACTGCCCCTGAGGTACTGAGAGGGGAAGCAGGAGGGAAAGGAATGATGGAGACAGAGAAGAGCCCTGTCATCTGCTGGTAGGGAGCACGGAGAGAAGAAAGGGGTGGAACTAAGGAGAATATAGCTCAGATATCACCTTCCCTCAATTTTCTTTTTTCAGGCTTCCTTTCCAAACTCCTTCAGACAGCCCATGCTGCCTGCTATCACCTTGAGGAAGAGACAACTCTTTTCTGCCTCCTCTGTGCTCTCAGACCCTACAGAGAAGGAAACAGAGGAGGAAGCTTCATCCTTGGAAGACAAACCTTTATTCCCTGGGGAGGGACAGGAGAATAATTAAATGTCCCATAAATTTGTGATTACACAGGTATGGGTAGGCCTCATGTGGGAGGGTGGGGCGAGTGCACCAATGTGGGTCATGTGAACCCAGGGCCATCATCCTCACTGCACTTTACCTCAAGCCTGGACCAAGGCTCTCCCCAGTGGGGCTGGAATACCAAGGCTCTGCCCTGTGTGCTACTCCAGCAAGGCAAGGAGAGGCTGCTGGTGCCCTGTTCAGAGGAACAGTCCTTTATGAGTTGTCCCCTAGCCCACCATGGTGGGTTATGTCATGTCAAGAGGGGCTTGTGCATGCGGTCCCCGCTAGGCTCCGCTGGCGAATGTGGCTGAGGAGCACCTCCGTCGCCTGCTCCAGAAGTGGGGGTAGCCGTTCCTGCTCGGCTGCTGTGAACCTGTCCAACACATACTGCTCCACGGCCCCTGGGTGGGTTGGTCGCCCGATGCCTACTCGGAGCCGGGGCATGACCTGTAGATTAGAGGGGTGAGTGGCACAGCGCTGGCAGCTGCCTACCCAGAAGCAGAAGGCTCTGCTTATTATGGCCTCCTGCTTAACCCCCAGCTCTCTACCTTGAAGCCCCTACTCGAGTACCACTGCAAAGCTGTGCCAGCAGGCCCTCAAGGCAGGATGAGGAATGAGACCCAGAAGAGATGGAAGGAATACTGTTATAGGGGTGAGGCAAACAGCAGAGCGACCCTTTGACAGGCGTGGGGACTAATGCTGGAATGCCAGGCTACTACTCTCTTCTTCTTCTTTTTTTTTTTTTGCTAGGCAAGAGGGTTAAGTGACTTGCCCAGGGTCACACAGCTAGTAAGTGTCATGTGTCCGAGGCCACATTTGAACTCAGGTCCTCCTGAATCCAGGGCCAGTGCTCTATCCACTGCGCCACCTAGCTGCCCCCACTACTACTCTCTTCTTCTGCACAGTACCATGTGGCTAGTCCTGGTGAATCAGGAAGACGGACATGCACAGGAGGACAGCAAGACCAGGACTGAGGCTGTCACCAGCTCCCTTCAAAATCCTCACCTCAGGGGCAGCTAGGTGGCGCAGTGGATAGAGCAATGACCCTGAAGTCAGGAGGACCTGAGTTCAAATCCGGCCTCAGAACAAACACTTGACACTTACTAGCTGTGTGACCCTGGGCAAGTCACTTAACCCCAACTGCCTATAAAAAAAAAAACAAACAACCCTCACCTCAGCACTAAGGTCTCAGAGCATGGGGAACTGATGGGGCACACAGGCTGCAGCAGAGACCATTAGCCCTAGGGAAATGCTACATTACCCCTGGGGGAAAGACTTACATTTGAGTTGAGACAGTTGATGCAGGATCGTACCCCGTTGTGACCGCTTTTAAGACAAAACCCAGAAAGAACAAGTGTCAGAAATTCATTAGAGGAAAGGGCAGGGACAGGGGCAAGGGGAAAGACAGAGTGGGAAGATAAGGAGACTCAAGGACAGTACAACTTCTTCAATGACAGTACAAAAGACGCGTAAGCCTCATGCCCTCTTTCTAACATCTCTAAGGAAATATGGCAGTGATTAGCACACTCATTTTTTACAGATGGGAAAATTGGGGTTAACACTCACAGGGCGAAGTATTTCCTTCCTTGGCCCCAACATGGGAATCTTTTGGGGGTGGCAAGGTTCTCTGAGGACCCTGGCTCCCTCACCTTGCACTGCCCCCCAACTTCATGGCTAGCTTCCCCAGTGGCTTGTCCAGCTCGTCATGTACCAAGTAGATGTCTTCGGCTGCCAGCTGATACATCTTGGCTTCCCAGAGAAACAAGAGTAAGATGGATGAGGGAGGACGCCGAGAACCAGGATTTACTATATACCACCTCCCCACCAGCTAAAACAATCCAGCACTCTCATTAGCCTCTGCCATGAAGTTATCTCTAGGGAGAAACCCAGCATTTAATAAATGTTTAGGGGACAGAAGCTAGGGAATCAGAACCACGTGCCAGCAATCCCTCCTCCCCCAAGGCTGGGCAGGGGGGAGCCCTACTGATCCCTGATCTCTCACCAGCCTGGGCCACACTGTGCCCATTAACATTCATGAATTGGCGGGGTTTGAGAAGCACCAGCTCAGCCTCTCCAAGGCGGGCGATGGCCACATCTGCACAGCACTGACGCTGTCTCTTCCACTGGTCAGCTACATTCAGGTGCTTGGCCAGCTGGTTCAGCACAGCCATGCCCACACTGTGCCGTGTGCCCTGCAACCTGTAGTTGCCCAGGCCGGCCACCTGTAGGTCAAAGAAGAACTGGGCTGCCCTCTTCTTCCTCACTACCCACCCACGTTCTCTTGAACTCCCTGCAGTTGGGCTTCCTCCCACCCCTCTACTGAAACTGTTCTAAGGTTACCATCGAGCTAATCATCAAATACAAAGGCTTTCCCCCTGCCCCAGGCCTCATTCTCCTAGACCTCTCCCTATTCCTTCTGGCATTGCTGACTAGCCCAGTTGCTCTGCTGCCCCAAATTCTACTGACTTTACCTTTCTAACATTTATATCCCCTTCTCTGACACTGCTGCCTCATCACCTCCTACCTGGACTACTGCAATAGCCTTCTGGTTGACCTCTCTGCCTCAGTGTCTCCCTCCTCCCATCCATCTCCATTCAGCTGTCCAATTAATCTTCCTAAAGAACAGGTCTGACCATGTCACCTCCCTATTCAATAAACTGTAGGCTCACTCTCACCTCTAGTATTGAATATAAAAATCCTCTGGCACTCAAAGCTCTTCATGACCTGGCCCCTTCCTACATTTCATCTTCTTACCCCCCCCCCCCAAAGTACTCTGGCGATCCAGTGACACTGGCCTTCTGGCTGCTCCTACCATAAGGCACTGCACCTCCCTAGGAGTGGAATGCTCTGCCTCCTCATCTCCGCTTCCTTGACTTTCTTCAAGTCTGAGCTAAAACTCCATCTACGAGAAGCCTTTCCTGATCCCCCATATATACATTGGATATATCTTCTTTATACATAGTTGTTTTCATGTCAGCTCTCATGTTAGACTGTGAATTCCCTGAGATCAGAGGCTATCTTTTTCCTTTCCTTCACCATGAACTTAGCACAGTGCCTGGTACAATAGTAGGTGCTTAATAAATGCTTACTGCCTGCCTGCTTTAGTTATCACACTCTCCTGGGTCTTCCTCCAGTCTAACTGTTCTTCCTCTTCCCATAAGGTTTCTTATGCTCTTCCTATATCCCTAATACGGAATATTCCCCAAGCTGGGGGACCCTTTGTCTTTATACTTTCTTCACAATTTCCTCTGACAGCTCCACAACCACCTCTAGACAGATAATTCCCAGATCTGTACCTCCAACCCTGACCTCTCTCTTTTTGAGCACTGCTAATTCCTGCCAGCCCATCTCCACCTGGATGTTCCAAAGGCACCTCAAATTCAACATTTCCAGAAATGACCTCATTCCATTTTTTCCCCAAAACCTACTCTGACCTCCTCACTTGATGGCACTAGTAGCACCACTCAGCCAGCTAAGCATAACCTGTGGGCTTCTCTTTGACTCTGACCTCTCACAATCAGTTAACAAGCTCTGTGGAGAACTTCTCCAAATCATCTCGGGAAGTCTTTTTTTTTTTTCCTATTCCTATTGGTATCACTGAGTATAGTCAGATCCTTACCACCACCTGCCTGGTTTATCACAGCAACTTCAGATCTCTCTCTCTCTCTCCCCTGTTCCAATCCATCCTATTTAATATGGCCCAAATAATCTTTCTCATCTAGAGATTTTTTCTGATCAATTTTCTGCTCAAAAATGTTCAGTGGTTCTCTATTAACTGGTGAGTAATATTTAACCCTTCAATGTCTAGTATTCAAGAATCTTCCCAACCTGGTATCACCCTCTCCTTTCTTGCCTCATCTCATTTTTCTCCCCTCTTTTACAACCGGTTAAAAAAATACTCTGCTCCACATCCTCTCATGCCTCTATCTCTTTGCTTAACCTATCCCTCTTCCTTCCTGGCATATCATCCTTCCCTCTCTTCACCAATTGGGGCTCTTTTTTGAACTTAAATGAAGCCTTCTTGAAGCTGACAATGACCCTCGGACCTCCCAAAGCATTGTTTGTTAGTCTTTAATAATATATATTATTAGATATTACAGCTATAATATGCACTATTACACGAGATACGATTTGTATCCTATCCTAGCAGGCTGCAGAGGTCCTTAACTTTTTTTTTTTTGCTGTCATGGACCCCTTTGGTGACTCTTATGGCCTTCTCATAATTTTAAAAAATTCATAATTGAAATAAATGCCAGATTTCATTTAGAGATGAGTTAAATTAGAGCTGTCTTTCCCTGCCCCCAAACAAATTCATGGGTCCCCAGATTATAAACCTGCTTTAGTGCAAGGATCATGGCTCACCCAAACTTTGTAAGTCTCCTAGTACTTAGCACGTTTTCTTCTGTACCCATTAGACACTCACTTCATAAATGTGAGACCAAAGGAAGCCTCCTCTCGAATCCCCCACGCCCACCCACCCCATCCCCGGGGTGCAAGAGTACATTAAAGTGGAGGAAGAGGACCGCGGTTCGAATCCAGCTTCTGCCAATGACTACTCGTGAGTCTTTAGGCAAGTCACTGGACTTGGGAGGGTGGCTCAGCTTCCTTAACTGTAAAGTGAACTCCGGAGTAGCCTCCAGTTCTCCCTACGGTCACCCAGGGAGATGGGGCCCGGGCATCGCAGGCTCCCGGCGCGGCGGGGGGTCGGGGGTCCCTTTAACCCCACCCCTCCTCTCGTACCCTCCAGCCCGGGAAGCTTCCCGCCCTCCCCCGCACACTCACCAGCCACCTCTTCCCAGGAGGCCGCGGTTCTGGGCCGGCTCGGCTCATCCCCCGGCTCAGCCGGCTCCACAAGAGCCCGAGCCCCGAGCGATTCATGTCTTCCTTCCGAACCTCCTCCTCTTACACACAGGCGGCCCCCATTCACCACGAGGGTCCCGCCCCTCGACGTCAGCGCGGCGAGCGACCAATTAGGGCCTGGCCCCGTCCCTCCTCCCCGGGATGACCACCCCGTCCCTGCCTGCCCCCGGAGCAGTCCGGAGCGGGCGCGGGTGGCGCCTGCGCACTGTCCTCATCGGCGCGGCGCGCGGGCGCCGGTCCGCTGGGGGGAGGGGGAGCGTGTTTCTGGGAAGCGGAAGCGGTGGAAGGTCGGAGGCTGTGCGAGTGTCAGTCTGTATTGAGGGATGGCATCTCCGGGAGCGGGGTGGCCGTGGGCCAGCTCAAGGCGGCTGCCCGCGCACGCCCCAGGAGATTCCAGAAGCAAATTTCCGCCATCAGAAGGTGAAGAGCCGCCGACCCACCTCCATTCTGTCGGGGATACAGCCCGGCGCTGTCCCACGTGTCGCCGTCCTCCAGGGGCGCGTGGGCTGTGCGCACCTCCGGGCGTCCCCTCGGCTGCCCCCGGGAGGCGGGGCGGAGGTCCTGCACTGGCTGTGACCTTGGGCCTGACCTGTTTCATGGCCGTGAGCTCCATGAGGTCCCTTCCATCTCTCAAGAAAGAATCTGGGGAAGGAGAAATCTTTCTATAACCCCGTTTTACAGTTAAGGAAATTGAGGCTGAGAAGTCAAGTTGGTTATTTTTTAAGTGTTCACCCAGTCACTTAAGTCCCGGACCAGCTTCTCCCCAAACCACCCTTTGGCTCCCATTTCCCGGGCGCTTCTTCCACCCCACAATACCTCTAAACTCCGCCAGCGGCTTCTGTTTGCTGAAGGAATATTCCCCCGATAGACTTAGAAGATCCTCGAGGGGCACCTCGGGGCAGGCACCAGATTTTCCTTTGACGGTGTACCTCCTGCGCCTAACTTGAGCTGGCACTTAGGAGGCGCTTTGAGATGTCTATTGATTCATTTACAACCCGGACTGGGATAGTGTTGTTTCTCACTCCCGGCAGGTCTTTTGAATTCTTTAGTAATTCTTGACAATACAAGATGGAGTCGGGGGGAGTGTATGTGTATGCCTGAGGAAGACAAGTTTAAATCTCTTATTATTTTATAAAGGATGAAACAGATATGAAAAGAATGAAGGGTAAAAAGTGTACATAAAGTGTTCTCCTTGCAAGCCGTTTTAGATGACATTACGTATAAAGGGGTAGAATTCCTGGAGAGCAGAGTCTGGGGCGTGGCCAGCACGGGGGGCGTGGCCTTCTGTCCTAGGTGCTTAGTAACTAACTGCCCTGTAGCCGGGAGACCCTCGTAGAGAATTGAGAGCCCAAAAAGGAAATCAAGAGCTGCCCAAGAAGTGAGCAGCAGGGAAGACGGTGTGGGACCAAGCAAGGTGTCCAAGTCTGGGAATCAGGAAACGTGAATTCAGGTTTGTTTGTCTCTGCCACCGACCCGGTGTAGGAGAGACGCCCTGGCCCCTCTACCTCTGTTACCTCCTCGGTACAGTGAATCACTTGGACTAGCCATCACTGATTTCTTCCAGCTCTGGAAAGGTAGACTCAGGCCAGATCATCATCATAAGGCCTTCAAAGCCAAGCTAGAGTTCAGATGATGTCAGTCAGGCTCTAAGATTCTCTGGTTCTCAGGGACCACAGCAGTATGTCTCTGGAGAAGTTATGTGAGGAAGAGGCAGAGCACCAGACCTTGACCCGGGTCCTTGGAACCAGTGCTGTTTTCAGGAGACTCGAATACCCAAAATTGTCTATCAGGGGCCTTCTCTTGCCAAACAAGATTGATGAACAGTAAGTGTGGGCCTCTACCCTCCTCTTTGTTTCCTCCCTGCCCCCAGCCCATATCTCCTGGGGATCTAGATCTCATGAAACTGTAGGTTCCTTGGGAGTCAAGATGCCTAGGTTGTAGTCTAAGATTTACTTACCAGTTGCTATGTGACCTTAGACACTTTTCTGCACCTATTTCCTTATCTGTTAATGGGAATAATACCTTACCTGCCAGAAGGTACTTCTTACCCCAAATTCCATGATTTTATGATTTCCTCTAGGAAGCCATTTGTCCAGCCCTTCCTTCCCTGATTCCCCATCATGCTAGACTGAGACTGTCCACTTTTGCCCTTTACCTTTTGGTCCTGACCCCCAACCTATCCGTCTGCCTGGTCATCTGTCCACAGCTTTCATCATGGGCAGGATGCCATGTCCAAAGGGGAGTGGGAAAAGGCTGTACTCTCCTTCTCCAAAGCCATCAACCTTAATCCCCAGCTGGTGAGAATGGGAGAGAAAGGAGAGAGCAAAAACTCTTTCCTCCCCACAATCCCCTTTGCCATCCCCTCCTAGCCAAGGATTGGGCCATGGGCCTCCCCCAAACCCAAAGGGCAAGCACATTTTCTGCCTGTTTGCTGTAATCCCCCTTCTTGGTGCCACCCCCATTGGGCCAGTGGATTCCTTGGTATCTTCTACATGGACACTCATTCTCTAACCTGAAAGTCACTTCCCCTTGTTGGACTTCAGTTCCACCTCCTGACAAATCCTGTAGTCCTTATTTAGACTAGAGGATCTCAGAGGTCCTTTCTTTATCTGAGATTCAGTGAGCCTGGTACTTATTTTGCGGGGTGGGCTGGACTAAACTGGACTGGACCAAGTCAAAACTAGCTCTCCCTGGGTGTCTTCCCTCTCCACCCCTGCCACAGGTGGAATCCTATGTTCTTCGGGCTGAGGCCTATCTCCAGCTGTGTGACTTTGCCTCGGCCGCCCAGAACCTTCGAAAGGCTGCCTCATTAACCCCACACCAGTCCCAGAATATAGAGCGCCTCTGCTTTGTCCTCTATTTGCAGGTGAGTTGCCTAGTCCTGCCCAGGGATAGGGAACTGCCTTTTCTCTCCCCTTCCTGAGGGGAGAAGGGCGTGCAGGGGTCTCAAGGCTTCCTGGCTCAGTCTGGGCTGGACTATCAGTCTGTCTCTGACCATCTGTCTGTTGTGTGCTTATCCCACTGGTGGCTCTACCTCTCACTCTTTCCTTCCCACCTCTCTCCTAGTCTATTTCTTTCTCTCTCATGCCAACTTCTGTTTCTTTTTCTCCCCTTTCCGATCTCTTCTCATTTCTGCCTCTGTAGCTCTCCTGGCCTCCTCCTCTGTCTCTCCCCATTTGAGTTTTTATCCCTTTCAATCTGTCTCTCCCTTGCCTCTTCCTCTCTCTTGTTACATCTCTTACACCTCTCCGTACATATCCAGCTGTCCTGACAGCCTGGGAGGGGGATTAGAACCATCTGTGGATGCCTGCCTCCCCACCAGGGCCAGTGTCTCTTTGAACAACAATCATACCTGAAAGCCTTAGACCTGTTCACCCAGGCTTCCGAGCTGCAGCCTCATAAGCCTTCCTACCGCTTCCGCAGGTGAGCCTGGGGCCTTAAGGGCTGGAGGGAGGGGGGGGCAGGGAATAGGGTTGGGAGGGAAGTCTCTCTCACCTTGGCACCCTCCCTCCACCTCATTCTAGCATAGCTTGCCTTTTGGCCATGAAACGATACCAGGAATGCCTCCAGATGGTCACAAAAGAGTTGAAACAGGATTCCAACCCTGATGTCTACATCCTCCGTGCTCGACTCTATAACTACTTCCTAAAGGTAGAACTCAAACCAACCCCCTCCTCAACAGGCAAGATGGGACCACAATTCCATACCTAAACTCAGCTCCACAATTAGGATTGGATGGGAGTTGGCACTCAGCCCCCTAAGATTATGATGGGCAGGGCGTGCAAGGACCCTGTTGTTCCCAAATCCTTCTGGAAAAGTCAAGGTAATCAATCCCCAGGACCCCAGCTTTCCTCTCAGCCCCACTCCAGCCCCAGCCAGTTCAGAATGTAGACGTATCGAAGGGTATTAATATCAAATAAGATTAAGCTTTAAATGCCAGGCTGAGGAGTTGTAGTTTGTCCTAAAGGCAATAGGGAGCCATTGAAGGCTTTTGAGTAGGGGAATGACATATAGTCAGACCTGTACTTTAGAAATATTTGACAACTATGTAGAAGAACTCAAGTCAGTAGGCATTTATCAAGTGCCTACTGTGTGCCAGGCACTGTGCTAAACACTGTGGATAAAAAGAAAGGCAAAAAATAGGACTGGAGCTCAGAGTCTAATGAAGGATTAAAGAGGGAAGAAACGGAAGCTTGGAGTCTGATTAGGAGGCTGTTGCAGTAGGTCTGTTGAGAAGTGAATGAGACCTGGAATAGAGTGGGGGGGGTCTGTGAGTGGTGGGGGAAGATTTGGCAGCTGAGCGAATGGGGGGGTGAAGAAGAGAGTCAGGAATGACTCCAAGGTTGTAGCTTACCTTTTCAAGGTTTACAGAGCACTTTAATCATCATAATCTTGAGAGAAGTAGAACAAAAACGATCCCCATTTTATAGATGAGGAAACTAAGACAGAGAGAAATGTGGTGAGTTGCCCAGGATTACACAGCTGGAGTCATCCTTGGTTCTCCAGACTTCCGCTGACAAGTGCAGTGATCTTTCCGCTGCCTAGTGGAATATTTCTAAATTACTGTTAGTGAGCTGTGGTCTGAGGTGCGCTAGAGTTTGCTAGACCAGGGGTCAGGACCCCCCACATCTATCCCTGCCTGTACCCCAAACTCACAGTGTGACTTTTGGGCAAGCTGCTGCTCCCCCTTTCTTTCTTTATAAAACCAAGGTGCTGAGACTAGATGGTCTCCAAGGTGCGTCCCTGCCTAACATTCTGATGAATCAGCTCATTGTGATTCTGATTTGCCTCATTCTGAGATAGTGAAGCAAGATGGTGCAGTGGCTGGCTAGAGTGCTAGGCCAGAAGTATCTGAGCTTAAGCACTCCCTCAGATACTAGCTGTATGACCCTGGGCAAGTCACTTAACCTCTCTCTGCCTAAATTTTTAATCTGTAAATTGGGTATTATAATAGCACCTACCTTAGAGGGTCATTGTGAGGATTAATAACATATATAGAGCCCTTTATGGGCAGCTAGGTGGTGCAGTGGATAGAGTGCTGGGCCTGGAGTCAGTAAGACTCCTATTCCTGAGTTCAAATCTGGCCTCAGACTCTTACAAGTTGTGTGACCTTGGGCAAGTCATTTAACATTTGTAAAATGAGCTGGAGAAGGAAATGGCAAACCTCTCCAGTATCTTTGCCAAGAAAACCCCAAATGGGGTCACGAAGAGTCGGACATGACTGAAAAACAACTGAACAACAACAATAGTACTTTATAACAAAGAGCTACGTAAATGTTAGCTATTATTCTTACCCATGAGTTGTCAAGGATGAAGCTATGTCTGTGACTCAGCCTAGCTGGCATTTTGGTCAGGACACAAAGGAAACCCAACTGGGGTTGTGGGGAAAACGTCCCTGACCATTCAGGGGAGCAGTCCTGACCGTTGCCCCCCTCCTCATCCCTGCTGCCAGCCAAATCAGTGTTATCAAGATCTGCGCCGGGCCCTCACCCTTAAGCCTCAGCACCCTGAGGCCACCACCCTGCTGGAGAAGTTGTTGGCCCAAGCCAGGAAGGCTCAGGAGGAGGCAGTGGTCCTGGCCTTGAAGGGGAGCCTGGAGGATTCTTTGATCCGGATCAACTGTGCCATTGAGAACAGCCCAATGGACCCTGGCTACTACTTGTTCAGGTATGATTACCTGATAAAATGATAAAAATAAATTATAAAAATGATAAATGATAAAATAAATGATAAAAAATATATAATAAATAGTAAAAGGGGCAGCGAGGTGGCACAGTGAATAAGAGCGCTGGGCCTGAAGTAAGGAAAACTTGAGTTCAAATCTGGCCTCAGACATTCACTTAGCTGTGTGACCCTGGGCAAGTCACTTTCAGTTTCCTCATCTGTAAAATGAGCTGAAGAAGGAAATGGTAAACCACTCCAGTATCTCTGCCAAGAAAACCCTCCCCCCAAAAAGTGATCATGAAGTCAGATGTGAAGGAAAGAATGACTGAATAGTAGCTAGCATTCACATATAGCACTTTAACCTTTGTAAAGTCCTTTACAAATATTATTTCAGTCTATCTTCATAATAACCCTGTGAGATAGGTATTATTCCCATTTTGCAGATGAAGAAACTGAGGCAGACAGCATTGAGTTGTCTACATAGCTAGTAAGCAGCTGAGGTAGGATTTGAATTCAGGTCTTTATCCATTGTACCACTCTTTATCCATTGTACCACCTCACTGCCAGTCACATTTGCTGGCATTTATGTAGTGCTTTATGAAGTCTTTCCTAATTGCTCTGTGTTTACCTTATGTATGCTTTGCATTTACTTATATGTGAATATGTTATTTTCCCCTGGTCTTGTACACACACACACACACACACACACCCTCCTTCCCTCCCTCCACAGAATATAAGCATCTTGAGGGCACCGAGTATTTTGTTTTGTCTTTGTATTCCCAGTGGCCAGCACAGTATCTGTAATATAGTAGATACTGGCAAAATAACTGCTTGTTGACTGGTTGACTTAAGGTTTGCCAGGTCTCATTGCCTAGTTTACATAGTCTTACAACAATCCCATGAGGGTGATGCTGCTATTATCCCATTTTACAGAAGAGGAAACTGAGGCTGAGCACTTGCCCAGGGTAACGTGGCTGGTCTGTATCTCAGGCAGGAGTCTTCCTGACTCTTAAGTCCAACACTCTGCCACAATGGGCCCAAGTATGGACCTAAGAAGCTCTTGGGTGGGGATGGAGGGGGCACTGAGGAATCAAGATTTGGGATCCCAAAGACCCCGCTGAGGAAACTCAGTACTCTTCCTGGCCAGTTTGTCACAGGAGGCAATGAGGGAGTAGGACCTGGGGTGCATTGCCTAACCATCTCATGGCTGGGGTAGAGGAGGGGAGGAGGAGGGAGTATGCAGTCACGGTAGAGTTCCTGACCCTGACAGTCAGGAAACTTAGGATCTAGTTGTGGCTTTGCCACCGATGTCCTGTGTGACCATCATCGATAGTCTGAGTTTACATTTCTTCCTGTATAAAATGAGCAGGTCTGGCTTGGTTCCATTCAGTTGAACAGACATTATGCTCTGGGGCATACCGAGGTGAAATATGACATAGTGCCTTCTATCATGAGTCGTAGAGTTCACGCAGGGTAGAGAAGATATCCCATCCACAAACAGAATAGGATGGCATGGGGGAAGGGAAGGGGAGGAGAAGGTGACAAGAGGGACATTACTATCAAAAGTCACTAAGACCTTGTCCAGCTCTGACATGTTAGGATTCTAAGCCTTTCAGGTGGAAAGTTCAGGGCCTGAATCCGGGGCCCCGTGAGAGGTGGACGGGTACAGTGAGAGATCATCTCCCTGTCAGCAGAAGCCTGGGCCTACTAGGGTTGGTGTCCCTGCTGCCTGCTGGGTGAGGCAAGCCAGACCCTCCTGCCTCCTCTCCTCCCAGGGGCACTCTGTTTCGGAGGCTCAAAGACTTTGATGCAGCTATTAAAGACTTGCTCAGGGCCCTGGAGTTAAGCCCAGAAGAGGAGGAGGATGAGATTGCCAGGCAGGCCCAGTGCCAGCTGCTGCTCACCTACAATGACTTTGCAGTCTTCTGCTACATCAAGGGTGCCTATGAAGAAGGCGTGTTGCTCCTCACTAAGGCCCTACGGGGCGAAAAAAGAGAGAAGGGGATCTACATCAACAGAGGGGGTGAGCTCATCCTGAGGGCCCTCTTGGGGGGTGGGGATGGGGCCAGGGGAGGTCCCTCATCTTGTATACTGGGGCATGTGAAGGGCTTCAGAGGATGGAGGGTTGGAAGGGACCTGGGAGGTCCTTGGGTCCCCTCCCCTCATTTTGCATCTTAGCAGCAGCAGAGTGGGGCTCCAGATGCAGGTCTACTATCCCCAAGTCCAAGTATCTTGTGTTCTGCTGACTGACCTCCTTGGCCTTCAATAGCTAGCTGTCTCCCTCCACATCCCTGTCCTTTCTAGTCAGGCCCATCCCCTCATGTCTCATTCCTGGAGGAGTTCTTCTTTACCTCTGCCTTTGCTCATGACTTCCTCCTCTCCTGGAATGCCCTTCCCTCTTCCTTCTGCTTCTCCAAATCCCATCAGTCCTACAAAGTCCAGCTCACATTCTGCTTCATCTAGGAAGCCCTCCCCAAGTAACCCTTGGTTTCCCCCCTCCTCAGAATTATAGTACTTAATGTCACACTGCTTGGAGATTTTAACTGATAGATTGTGTGTGTGTCCCTCCCCTCCACCTCTTCCCTGTGGTGTGGACGGGACAGAACCCTGGGGCTCGAAGGCTGTGCATGCCTGGTTATAGTGAACAGACTGTGCATGTCATCTGGGGACCAGCCTCGCTAAGCTTTAGAGATGCTTATGACCAGGGTGGTCCTCTCAAAGACTGTCTTCACTAAGTCACAGAAAGGCTACAATTTGCATCCAAGGAGATGGCCTAAACAACGAGATCACAGATGCAGAGGACTAGTAGTTCACTATTCCTTATCAAAACATCCATCTTTGGGGGTGAGGCAGGGGATGTGGGGAGATGTGTTTAGAGGGGAAGAAGGTACCTAGACCCAAAACTTGGGATTCACCGGTATAGTGCACCTTTCCAAGGAGAAAATTCTCTTTGCTAATATGGATTGGTACCTGCCCTGCATCTAATCTTATAGATTAGCATGGGGCACTGAGAGGTCACCTGGCCAGGATGGGTCAGGGAAGGGATTTGAACCCAGATCATCCTGCCTCCCAAGGCCAGCTCTTTTTTGTCAGTTGTCCCTTATACATACAGCTTTTCATTATTTGCTTTAATAGAAGGAAGAGACATGGACAGTACAAAAAAACAGATGATCAAAAAAAAATCAATGGTATTTGGCTTTGGGAACGGGGCAAGGCTCAGACATATGTGCTCACACATGTTCATAAACCTACAGCCTACACTTGTTCTCTTCTCCAGCTGGATCTGCCCAGGCCCTCTAAGCTTGGATTGAATCTGGGGGACGGCAGGGGGGTTACAAGGTCCCTAAGGATGATTCCTGTGGCCAGTGAAGGGGTGGACAAATTGGGCACTGGGCAGAGGAGAGCAGAATCCCAGCTGGGAGCTAAGTAGAGAATGCTGAAAGGCTGAGACTAGTGAGTGGAGGGACTGACCAGACCTCACTGACCAGGGAGAAGGAGGAGGAAAGTCGTGGGGCTGGGGTCAGACAAGGAAACCAGGTGGTTTCCCCCTTCCTTCTGTCTACCTTCCCTCCTAGATTGTTTCTTCAAGCTTGGAGAGCTGACCTTTGCTGAGGCTGATTACCTGGAGGCACTGGCCCTGTGCCCTGGGGACCAAGGTGCTCGGTACCGCATGGGAATGCTTCAGGAGAAGCTGGGGCTTCGCGAGCATAAGCTGAGGTGTGTGGGGGCACCTGGAATGATGAGGCTCAAGGAAGAGCCACTGGCCAAAGGGTCTTCACAAGCCCTTTCTCCAGGATGATTCAGCCTGGCACTAGGCTAGCCAGGGCAGATACCTGGGCAGACTTTCCAGGGGGCCTGAGCCACTGACTCCACCTGCCAACTTCCCAGTCTAGTGCCTTCTAGTCGCTTTCAGTTACTGCTTCTTAAGACATGGCAGCCCAAGAGCTTGCCTTCAGTAGACTGCTATGTCCCCTTCTCATCCTGTGCCCCCACCAGCAGAGGTGCTCAATACCTACTTGGGAAACCTAAGCTTCAGCTTTCTAGTTCAATTTGGAGAGCATGTAGGACTTGGAGTCAGGAAGACTTGGGTTCGAATCCTTCCTCTTAGACTTACTAGTGGGTGAATATGGACAAGTCCATATTCCACAAGAGAGTGGATAACTATCCACTCTCAGCCTCAGCTTCCTCATGTATAAAATGACAGGGCTGGACTTGAATGCCTCTGAGGTCCGTTTCAGCTCTAAATCCGTAGTCTTCTAATTAAGCGAAGTACAGAGCCTTGTGCTGGAAGGTGGGAAGACAAAAGATGAAAAATGGCATAATCCCTGTCCTCAAGGAGTTTATAATCTGTTTGCTCACGTGCAGAATGGCTGCTTCTCTTCCTTATCTCCCTCCAAATCTCCATTTGTTGAAGTTTCTCCTTTTCTTCTAAGGTGTCCTCCCTGAAGTCTTCATTGAAACTTTCTAAAATTTCTCCTGGTACTTTATCTCCTTTGCCATTTCATTGACTCCTTTGTATCATAGTGCATGTATGTACTTGTTTTCCCTGCCTCCCTCACCACCACCATCATTGGATTTCAAATTTCTCAAGAGCAGAGCCTGTGTCATTTCTGTCTTTATATCTTCAATGTCTAGCAGAGTGCTTTGCATATGGTAGGAAAAATTTTAATATTTGTTGATTTGAATTGAATGAATAGGGGGAATAAAACAAATATACAAATTGGAGCAGTGCTCATTGACTCTTTCCTCTCCCACCAAAATCAGAGTGAGATTGAGAGAAATGTATGAGAAAGGTTTCTGAGCTCTTGGGACTAAAGGTGCTGTAAAAAACTTGGGGACCATTGAGTTGAAAGCAATCCTAGAGATTATCCCATCCAGCCCATTCATTTCAGAGAGGAAATAGGCTCAATGAAGGGAAGAGATTTGCTCAGAATTATGGGCAGAACTATGAGTAGAATCCAGGTTTCCCAGCTCTCAATCCCATGTTTTCTTTTTTCCCCCCTTTTAACATGTTTTAATTTTACTTTTTTATTTCTTTATATTACTGTCAGTCCTCCATGTCTCCTCCCTGACCAATAGAGTCCTTCCTTATAACAGATAAGTACAATCAAGCAAAATAGATCAGCATTTGGATCAATACATTGACTAAGTCTGAAAATGTATGTCTCATTATGTACCCATTGTCCTTTACAACATTTTCTGTGCTGCCATTTTAATGTTCCTCTCTCAGCTGTGCATAGACCTAGCAGAAAGATAAACAAAAAGGGGAAAATATTTGAGACTATTTTAGAAATTGGAGCTGCAGGATTTAAGGTGTTTGCTGAATGGGAACATTAAAGAATATAGATATATTCTCAGTACCATGTCGTACTTTTAAAAAAGTAGACCGTGTGCTAAGGACAAAGAGAATTTATAAATAAATTTAAGAAAGAAATGCTAAATACACCCTTTACAGATTATAGTACAATAAAAATAGTAGGGGTAGCTAGGTGGCACAGTATTTAGAGCTCTGGCCTAGGAGTCAGGAGAACCTGAGTTCAAATCAGGCCTCAGACACTTGAAACTTACTAGCTGTGTGACCCTGGGTAAGTCACTTAACTCCAATTGCCTCCCCCCCCAAAAAAGGGCAAAAATAATAATCAATACAGATAACACAAACCAAAGATGTAGCCCTAAATGAGACTTATTAATGACATCCTAAATAATGAACGTGTAAAAGAATAGATCATAGAAATAGTTTATAAAGATATAAAAAGGAATAATAATAAGACTGTATACCAACATTTCTGGGATTCAGCTACAGGATTCCTCAGAAGAAAAACTATATTTCTGAAAACATATACTAACAAAATATGAAAAGAAAGGATGAAATGAATTTTTCTGCTACATATCAAGTGATGCTGCTACTGATGGTGATTTCTAGGACTGAGGGCTGGGAAGGAAGGAGTTGCCTGTCAGGCCTAACATTTCCTAGTCACACCAGACCTCTTTCAGGCCCGACGCACGTGGACTAGAGTTAGTTTTCATGCTTGGGTTCAGACATGGTTCTGCTGGCTCCCACAAAGTTTGATTCTTCCTACTATTTGTAGACGATACCACAAGGCCGAACAACACTTCTCTTAGCCATTGAGTACAACCCAGAGAAAGCAAACTTCTACCTCCTCCGTGCCAGGAACCGCCTAATGCTGCAGGATATCTTTGGGGCTCGTCAAGATGTTGCTACCCTGCTGCTTCTCAACCCCAAACACCCCCAGGTGGGCTGTATACACCTGCCTTTGTCCAACCTTGGCCCAGTTCAGTGGTATTCAGCAAACAAGTCATTAGGCATTTACTCTGTGCAAGGCACTATACTTGGCCCTGGGAATACAAAGCCTTTTAAAAAATTATATAATTCCCATCCATAAGATGTTTACACTCTATGGGGGTGGGGGAAAGAGACACGACCCATATCTAAGTATGTGTAAGAGTAATAAGGAAAAGAAAAGATGCAGGAAAGGCGTTTTGTGAAAATTTGAGGTGGAAAACGTTTCACTCCTTCATAGCAATTCTGATTAGTAGGAGAATAAAGGTGGAGACTAGTAGCTAGAATGATTTTATTTCCTATAGATTTTAGATGTTATCCATGGCCACAGAACTTTGGCTGTGCTAGTAACACCTGATTACAAAGGACTGTTCTTTCAATGCCACCAGTTGTGTAGGAAGAGTCCAGTTTCCCCAGGCAAGACTTTTGATCCCAAATCTGGATCTCTCAGTTTACCTTCCCTCTCTTCCTTACAGCTCATTTCTACGATGGCAAACCTCTTCCCTGGCCACTCCATAGAGTCTGTGCTGAACAGCAAGACCATGGTGATGGCTAAAACCATCCTGGAGAGGGCGATGCAGAACCAGCTTCTCCAGTGCCCCCAGGATGTCCTGGGGTCAGCTTCATCTCAGGGGACTTATCAGAGGGCAATGCTAGATGGAGAGGTGGTGGTGTAAAAGTGGAGGAGGGGGAAATTAGCCTTTCTGACGAAGAAAACAGGGTCCTAAGCTCACAATTAGGCATCTTTGGGACATGTATAGACTGAGTAACTGGGTTAATCCCACCATATTCCATGTTTGTTTAGGTGAAATCTGGTTCAAACACGCAGACTAGTCTTGAGTGGGGAAGAGAAGTCCACTAAACTCTGTGGATGACACTGACCTTTCCCATCCTGCAGACTCCTGAAGAAGGGCGATTCCACAGAGAAGGATGTGAACAAGAGGCCATTCACCATACCCACCGCGGAGCAGACCCCCAACTCTGGAGAGAGGGGGCTCCCTGACAACATTCCTATGGTTCATACAGCAGGGATCCAGGCAAGGGAAGGGAGGTGGAAGGCCTTGTTCCCTGGGACCTCACATCTTGCAGATTTCAGACCCGGGGAAGGAAGATAAACTTTGTTTCCCAGCTCTATCGCCCTACTAGGACTGAATTGGTCGGGCCACACCATTAAGGCTTCAGGGCTCAGGCTTTATCTTAAGAAAGACATTGATAAACTCCACTAACATCCTACTCTCTTACCTGGTCATGGTGCGCAGGGACACTGGGCTCTCCAAGTCTGTCTCTGGCAGGGTCTGCCAAGCTGGAAAGACTTCAGATATAGGCCTGGCAGAAGCCTTGCTTGCCTGTCATGCAAGGACTAGTCTAGTTAAGTTTGGAATGGCCCAACCACCAGCTAGCCTATGTAGCATTTTCAGATCACCGCATCCAAGTCACAGCTTATTACTAAGTCACAGTTTTACACGGTTAAACTTCCCCTGCATGGGTGGAGTTTAAGCAGACACATTTACAGAATTTGAGATCCTTGACTGGCACGTTCAAAGGAGGGTGGCTAGGATAGGGAAGGCCTCAAAAAAAAAAATGCCATACAGGATTGACTGAAAAAGAAAAGGTGGTTTGGCTAGAGAAGGCTTAGCTGGGGATGTGGTGGGGAGGACCTTAAAATATCTGATGGGCTGTCATGTGAGGGTGTACAGCTTATTCTGGGAGCCATGTTTGAAAGTTATAGGGAGCCTGATTTAAGCTAGACATAAGAACTTCCAAACCACTGGTGCTGCTGGTGCTGTCCAGCAACGGAAAATGAGGGAGTAGCCTCCGGCAGAGGCTAGATTTCTTCCTGCCTTGGGGGGGGAAGAGGGTTGTTGGGACTAATGGGTCTCCAAGGTCCCTTCCAACTCTAAAATCCTGTGATGCCTTCAGGATCAGACTCTGATCAAGAACAACACAAGGCAAACAGCGAGTCAAGACGAACAGCCTGGAAGCCCCCCAAGGCACCCAGCTTCTCCAGGTAGGTTCTGAACCTGGGTCCTCCTCACTAGGTGGGGGAGAATGAGCCCTGGCTCCTTTCCTTCTGCAGCCAGGGGCTTACCAAATTTCTAGCCTTTCAGACTCATCCCGGATAAGTCACTTCCCCACTCCAGGCCTCAGTTTCCCTATTTGCAACAACCACAAATATATATAGATAGTGCGGTAAGGTGGACGGAGCCTTTCTATCACCACAAGCCTTTCTGTCCATAGCCAGGCTAGCTCTTAGGCATGCTGTTTGCTACCAGGCTTGTACCTAACCTGCCAAAGCATGTGGTCAGTGGACCCTTGGCACAGTCTTAAGTCCCCAGGGACACTCCCATACCACAATGGGGCAGTGAAATGGAGGTGACTAATAGAACACATTTGTATGGCACTCTTCAGCTGACAAAGATTTTTGATCATTTGATCCTCATTATAACTCAGTGGGAGGCAAGGCAGGGATCCTTACCTCATTCTACAGATGAAGAAATTGAGGCCCAGAGAAGGGAGATAATCTCAGGTCCGGTGCTGTCTCTACTGTGCCGCATCGCCTCACAAGAAGGGGCATGCTGCAGTGTGGAGAGGGCAGACCTGGGCTCAGAGGACACTACCAGTGGAACCTGGGACAAATATCTTAACCTCAGTTTCCTCATCTATAAAATGAGGCCATCCGAGATCTCTTCCAACTCTAAATCTGCAATCCTCTAAGGGAAGAGGTGCAAGTGTCATCTTCGCTTGCCCAATGTGTAAACAGACTCAGAGTTGTTCCAGGCTATGATGTATCAGAACCAGATTTTGAATCCAACAAGCCTCTTAACTTCTTTGTGCTTAGCCATGTGGTAACAGAGAGAGGCTGGACCTGACTCAGAGGGCCTTACTAGAGCTACCATTTCCATAAAACTGCATCAGCACTCTCTGGAACTGGGGCAGTATCCATATTTTGAGCTGGCAGCAAGGACTCCTGGGTCTTCCTCTCAGCCCTCTTCTCAACATATGATGGGAATTCCTGGAAATCAACTCCTTAGGTCAAGCAGGAAAAATCAAGCTCGAGGGCCAAAAGGACCCCAGATGGTTTGGCTTTCCTGAGGCTAAAGCCTGACTGGACCTCTCTCCCTCTTAGGGAGTAAGCCAACCACCATCTGCAAGAGGCAGGCCTCTTTCACGTACTTTAATGTCTTCACAGGGCAGACACCCTCCTTGGAGGCCAAGACTGCTGCCACATAGACCAAAGTGAAGGCTAAAGTACAACGGTCTTTCCCTGAACCAGTGTGTTGACAACCCTGGCTTCTCCTTCCCCCGCCCTAACAGGTGGGCACTATCCATACCCACCCTTGCATTTTGGGGGGCAAGAGGCAGGTCTATTAGATAGATCTCTTGTCACCGAAGGAAACCCCTCAGCTCCTTTTCCACCTGCTCTGGGCCTCCAGCCTATCTCTATACCCAACAGTTCCTGCTCTGGCCTCCTTCCCGATAGAGCCAAGGTTTCTCCAGCCAGAGCAGGAACAGCTAGATAGGCTTTCCCTGGTCCCTTAAATAAGTTTATTTTGTATCCTCTCCCTTTTCTTCATTACAAAATTAGAAACATTTAAAGTAGGCTTTGTTAAAGAGCAAAGTTTGCAGTCCCACAATCTCCATCTTTGTGCCTGCTGGGGTGGGAAGCTGGGAAGATGGTTGGGCCTTATTAAGTTCTCTGGCTTCCTGGTGTTCCCCCAGGCAATGAGGAGATTGGAATGGGGGAAGGGGGAAAGAGAGGGGGGTGTGTGAAGTCTTCATGAGACTGGAGAGGAGAACATGAGCCTCCCAGGGGGTCCTGCAAGCCTCTAGTAGGGGTGCAGAAGATGACTGACATATGTGGTCCCTGAGTCACCAAATCACAGCATCAGTTTAAATAAGGCTCAGATAGATTTGGGTTGGGAAAAAGGAAATTGGACTTGGCTCAGATGAAGTATTTTGGCCAGGAGCTTTGGGCATGGGGGGGGAGGGGCAGGAAGGCAAGTGAGGCCAAGATGTCCTCAAACCAGCAGCGCAACATCCAAGTCTTCCCTGCCACCATCAGTCTGGAAGGTACCCAGAGTGGCAGGAGCTAGAGCTGCCATCTGCCCTCAGTCCTCTGCTCCTTGGGCTGCCAGGCCTGCCCTGTCTGCACTCTTTGGAATGCCTGGGGCAAAGGTCATTCTGCCAGCAGCAAGTCTGGACCAAAGCTCCCCGGCAGACTCACTTGATGATACATGGAGTGGGGGGAGGGCCCCACTCATAGGAAGAGGGTGATTCGAGAAGCAACAGTCTTGCAACCATTGGAAGAAAAAAGCTGCTCCTCTTCAGGGAAGAAGGCAGTCCCATCCAGCACAGCCTGGACCACCTCCTCCTCCTGCTGCTGGGCCAGGCCCAGCTGGGCCAGTTCATTGATCACGCAGTGCCGGACGTGGTGGCGCTGGAGGGGCAGGAAGGGGACCAGCAAGTCCAAGAGCTGGTCTTCTACAATTCCTGACTGCCAGAAACCATCTGAGGGTGAGGGAGAAGCAGGAAGAGGCTGGGTCAGGAGACAAGTCACCAGCTGAGGGTACAGGCCCAGAACACCCCACAGGAAGGGAACCATGATGACTGAACAGGACAATGTACTCTTGGCTTTGAGCTAAAGTTAATGGAGGGCTGAGCTGGGGCCACTCTGGGGAGGGGGGGTGGCTTAGGTTCTCGGTCCCCCTTCCTACAACCTTTCAGGGATACAAGAGGGAGAGGGGACAGGGAAGATCTGAGTGGCTGGAACTACTTCGGTTCTAAGCTCTGACTACCATTCTGGATGGGGCCTCAGGGAAATGGGGTGAGTGGATAGACAGACACAGGACTCACGCTGGGGGTTGTCCACGATGGCCTTAGAGATGGCAGGTTCTAGATCCCCAAGCTGGAGCTCCTCTCGGTCTCTCCGGGCACGCCAGGCGTCCAGTGCTAGCTGATTGATTTGCTCCCCGCCAGCATTGCTGGAACCCCAAAGCAGGAAAGGCAGGACGTAGATGAGACAGGGTTGGGAGAGAGGGAAGTCTGGCTCTCGTCTAACAGTACGTGGACACAACCAGGACTAGGAAGCAGGAAAACAAAGGTCTGAAACCGAGCTCTTCCCCAAACTCTTTGAAACATTTGAGGGAAGCATCTTCTGACCTTAGGGCTTCTCTTTAGCCTTAGAGTCATGATCATCAAACCTGTCTGAACAGTCCTTTGGGGCTGACTAAGTACATTTCCCCCCTTGTCTCACTTGATCCTCACAACAACCCTGTGAGGAAGGCAGGGCAAGGGGAGGGGTGTACAAGTGCCATTTTACAGGTGAGGAAACTGAAGCTATTAAAGGAGATAAGAAATAGCCAAAGTCATGCATCAGTTTCATTGCAGACCTGGTACCAGAACCCAGTCTTCAGTGTTGCCTTCTATGAAAGGGGATTCTTACCTGCTCCCCTATTTATCTCATGTTACCTTGTGTTTCATGAGGATGAAACAGATTAGGCTAATACGGTGCTTGGAGATCTTCAAAAGAGAAACAAATCACTGTGAACAATGATACGTCTATAACCAGGACTCAAGGGCCCTGAACCCTCAGGACTGGGGGGACAGCTGCTATTCTGTTTGCTTACCAGCACTGACTGCGGGGAGAGCAGAACTCAACCCTTCCAGGCTCACCCTACCTGAGGAAGATGAAGATGGCTTTTCGGTAGTTGGTACCATAGACTACCCAGGAAGGTCCCAGGAAGGGACGGAGTACCCCTAACAGGCCTGGGTGCATCTTGTCCACCTCATCAAAGAGGAAGAGGGAACGGCCACAAGTTGTGAGGTTTCCCAAGATCCATTGCTTCAGGTCACTCTGTAAGAGGAACACGAGGGGGCAAGGCGAGGTAGCATGGAGACCACGGACAAGAAAAGGTTAAAACTGGGGCGGGGGAAGGGGTGAGAAAAAGCCAGACAGAGGTGACCCTTCAGTCCATCCAGTGTGAGACAGAAACATGCCTTACCCTCAGAGGACAGAAGCTCCCTAGGGCAGGAACCTCAGATCCACTGAGGAGAAGCTGCCTTCACTCAGACATGCCCTTTTCAATGATTTCCCATGGCTGGTGATGGGTTTGTATTGGCTCACACTTTCCCACCAATTATACTACAACCCCTTACCATTTTTTAATAGTGAGTTTTATTTCTCAAAGCTCTTTCATCCTCTCACTTGACTCTTTGGACAAATGGGCAGGCCTTATTCTCCCTATTTCATAGATGGCGAAACTGAGGTAGAAGTGAAGAGACTTGTCCAGGGTCATTTGGCCACATGAACAAGACAGCTGGCCAGGGGTAGCAGTGCAGGCTGTGCTTAAGAGCAAAACCTAAAGCCCAAATTTCTGTCCTTGAACTCACAGGCACTATGCTGTAGAGGGACAGGCCACAGATAAGATCGTAGCTTTAGGGCAAGAGGGGAGTTCATAGGTCAGAGGGGATCCAAGCCCCTCTCTTTATATATAAGGCAGCTGAAGCCCAGGAAAGATGAGTTACCCAAGGTCACACAGGGAGTAAGTAGCTGGGCTGGGATTCAAACCTAGGTCTTCTGACTCCAAATTCAGTTTTTTCCATTATACTGCTGTCACACTCAACACGTCATCCCTGGGAGTGTTTAATAAGTATTCAGAAACACCAGTCAAATGTCCATTGTGTCACTCTGGTTCAAATTAGATCAGAGAAGGGCAGGCTAATTTAGAGGCAGAGTGGAAGAAGATCCAGCTTCTCCCAATTTGCTCTGTGGCCTTAAGCCAGCTGATTTCCCATTCTGTGCTTTAGGCCCCCAGCACTCAGCCTGCTCTTGGTGGGAGGAAGGCCTGGGTGGTGAATGGCTTACCTTGTAGCGCTCTATTTGCTCTGCATGGGGGAAGTGGATGACAGGAGAAAAGTGATGCACGTGGGGACTGGCCATCCCGTCTCGGAACAGGTACTGGATCAGCATGGAGCTGACGTAGGATTTGCCTGTGCCAGTCCAGCCATGGAAGGACATCACTAGGGGTTTGGCTGGCTCAGGATTCTCTACAAAAGCCTTCAGCCCCTTCATTACCAGTTGTCTTACCAGATGCTGCCCGGCCAAGTGCTGGGCCAAATCACACTCTAGGCCTGCAGAAGAGGGAGAAGAGGCACCCAGTAGGCTGGCAGGGGAACACTTGGTCCCCATGGGGATCTCTGGTTAAAGGAGGCATCCCAATCCCAGAAAGGGGATCTAATGACCTGGCTCTTCCATGCCCACAGGGACCCCCTGGTCTCACTGGCTCCTCCATCTACATAAAAACAAAGCCCTTGGATAATATATCTCAGCCTCCCTGAACTTGTGGTCAATTAACACCCATCTCCTCCCCAAAATCTTTTTCATATGAACTGCTGCAAAGCCATATCCCCCTATTCTGTACTGGATAATTTGCTCTTTGGAACCAAGTGTAAGACTTTGCATTTTCTGTGTCCAATGACATTTTATTAGTTTTAGCCCATGCTCCTTTTTAGATCCTGACTCCATCATCGAGCATGTTGGCTATCCCTGCTAGCTTCATGTTATGAACAAATTTGACAGCTGACTATATTTGCATATGAGCCACTGAGAAGCATGTTGAAGAAAACAGTCTTCTATAGGTCATTAGATACTAGCTTGTCATCAGTTAACCAGTTGGCCTGCATGTTTTCTCTACACTAGGCCTTAAACTCAATGTTTGTTACCACCTTTATGATGCCTGGTTCTCAGAGGCCTAGTATCCCCATCCGAACTCAAAGACTCCCTTCCCTCAAAGCCTCCGGCCAGAAACTCACAGATTACCTTCCCCTACCAGGGGCTCTCAACACCAATTACAGAGGGGGACTCTCTAGTCCCCCTAATTTCTAATTTCCCAATCAATCCTAAATCTGAAGAAATTCATTTATGTAGAGCTTTAAAGTTTGCAAAACACTTGACATGATCTCTTTTGAGCCTTATAACAACCCTTTGGGGTAAATGCTACTGTTATCCATGTTTTTTTGTTTTTGGGGGGATGGTGGGGAGAGGGTCTGGATCTGGATTTTGTCAGCACAGGAGCTCATCAAGGGGTAAACTCCTTCTACCAACACAGATCGGCAACACTCTACAACTCGTCCTAGAGAGTTTTCTGGCACACTCTAAAATATGCATTTTAAGATGAGAAAACAGATGCAGAGAGGTTACATGACTTGCCCTGGGTCATATGGCTAGTGTCAGAGGCAGGATTAGAATTCAAGGCCTTCAGGGGAAGTGGATAGGGCACCGGCCCTGGAATTAGGAGGACCTGACTTCAAATCCAGCCTCAGAGCAGACACTTGACGCTAGCTGTGTGATCCTGGGCAAGTCACTTAACCCAACTGCCTAAAAAAAACCCCCACCTAATTCAAGGCCTTTGGGATTATCCATTATGATATGTTTCGGTCTTTCCAGTCTTGTCCAACTTTGTGACCCCATTTAGGATTTTCTTGGCAAAGATACTGGGGTAGTTTGCCATTTCCTTCTGCAGCTCATTTTACAAATGGGGAACTGAGGCAAACAGTTAAGTGACATGTCCAGGGTCATACAGCTAGTGTCCGAGGTTGGATTTGAACTCCCAGGAATGGTGCTGTATCCAGTGCATCAACCTAGCTGCCCTGTGGTATACTGCCTTCATTATAATTCCTGGTTAACTGCATCCCCACTCCCAGGAGCCTCATAGCCTTGAACTCCTCCTTACCTCGTTCCAGTCCTCTTGTGTCCAGTCCTATCTCCTGCTCTCCCTGTGTGTTTCCATTCTGCTGGCCCCTAAGCCTTCCAGTTCCTAGTTCAGCCCCCAGTTGCTCCCTTCACTACAACCTTCCCCACTTACCAGTCCTCAGGTCCTTCTCACTAGTCCAAAACCTCCAATCACTGACTCCAGCATTCAAGTCCCTCTATTTTCCAGTCCAAGCGTCTATTTCCCCAACCTTAGCCCTAATTCCAACCAAGCCAACATAATCCAATAGGCATTAAAACAGCATCTACTATATACAAGACACTACTAGGAGTCTGGGGGACAAGAAACAGTCCCTGCCCTCATGGAGCTAACATTCCATTTGGAGGAGGGGGGAGGCGGCTGAAACATAAATAGATAAATGTATACAGGATATTTTGAGGAGGGAGTGTTCTAACAATTATGGGGATTTGGAAAGGCACAGGAGATGGCTGAACCACGAAGGAAGCTAGGGATTCTCTATTTGGAGATGAGGAAATGCATCTGTTTGTAAGGCCAGTTTATCTCTAAAGTGCATAAGGAGAGAATAACATGCTATAAACATGGAAAGGTGAACAGGAGCCCGGTTGAGCATTTTAAATGCCACACTATGGGGTGGGTATTTTTTCCTAGACAAGAGGGAGCCTCTGGAACTTCCTGAACAGGGTAGTAACATGGCTCACCAGCACTCTGCACTACAAAGTAGCTATGTGGAGAATGGATGGAGAGGGATGAAGGAATGCCTACAAGCTGGGAGTCCAATTAGGAGGCTGGTGGAATAGCCTAGGCTAGAGGTGAAGGAGGCCAGAATTAAAGTGGTAGTGGCCATGTGAGTGGAAAGGGATGGGTGCAAAAGACGCTGTAGAGGCAAAATCCACAAACCTCTTTAACTGATGGCTACGGGAAGAGGAAGGAGCCTGTCTCTACCTCTGGCCTCGGATCCCTGGTCTACACTTGCCCCAACCTCTTCCGGGGCCCCAGTCACAGGATTCAGAATTAGAAAGGACCCTAGAGATCATCTATTCCAATGGACACCGAGGCGCACAGAGGGGACGTGATTTGTCCAAAGTTACATAAGGCATCATTACCCAAACCAGAACTAGAATCCACCTCCGATGACTCCAAATCCAGCCTCTTTTCAGCGTGTCCTACAGTCTCCCTAACTCTGATCCCATGTCCAGGCTCCAACCTCTTGCTCCAGGCTGACCCCCTGTCCCCGAGCCCCCCGTCCCAGTCCCTGGCCCTTTGGTCCTGCCTGCCTCCCGTGTGCCTGGCCCCAGGCGGGTCTGAGCAGCACCGGGCCCCGAAGCCTCAGCCGCCGACCTCCCGGGCCCGCAGCCCCCAAGCCTCGAACCCCCAGCCCCCGATGCCTGGGCTTCCGGCCTCCAGGACCCCGGAGCCTCCAGCCCCGCGCTTACCCCGGAGGTCGGGTCGGAAGTCGCAGTCGCAGAAGGCGCCGAAACTGCAGCTCAGCGAGCCCAGGTCCCAGGCGGCGGCCGCGGCGGACAGCAGCCCCAGCAGCCCGAGGAACCAGAGCAGCCGGGCCCCGGGCGGGCCGACCCCAGCCGCCATCCCGGACCCGCAGCAGCTCGAGCCGGGACCAAGGCGGCTCTGCCCCGACCCCGTCCACCAACAACCCAGACCTCCCCGCCCCGTCCCTCTTGTCCTTGTTGTACTACAATTCCCAGAGTGCACCGGGGGGGGGCGCGGCGGGCGGGGCTGTCGCTCACCTGGGTTCAGGCTCCGGCCCGCCCCCGCCCTCCTTTCCCTAGGGGTAGGACAGAAACCAGGGCCCACCCCGGGAAGAGAGTCTTAGGCTGATGTGGGGATTAGGGATCGTCTGAGCGCCACAGGAGGAAACAGGCACGGAGGAGGCCAGGCAGGCGCTGGGATGCGTCGGTCGGGCAGGCGGAGCCTGGAAACGGCCACCAGGGGGAGCTGTCTCACTGTCCAACCCGCCAGAACGGGACGGGACGGGGGCTCCGTCCCCCCATGATGGACTGCATACTGTCAATAAGAGTCACAGGTGTGAATGGCAGCCAGAAAACTAATAGTATCTTGGTGTGCATATGGAGAGGCGCTAGGTGGCACAGAGGATAAGGGCCCTCATCCTGCAGGCAGGAAAACCTGGTTCAAATCCTACCTCAGATGCTTTCTGGGCAAGTCACAACCTCCACCTGTCTCAGTTTCCTCAAATGTAAAATGGGGATGGGGATAATACTAGCACTTCCTTCCAAGGGTTGTTGTGAGGATCGAATGAGTTATTTAATATTTGTGTAGTTGTTTTTAAAAATACTTTTTCTACCAGCTGTGTGATCTTGGGCAAGTCACTTAACCCCGATTGCCTCACCAAAAAAAAACCCACCAAATTTTTTCCCCACCCCCACCACACACCCCCTCCCCCTGGCCGTTTCCCACACTTAATCCTATGTAGGCAACATTCTCCCTTGGCCACCCCTGGAGTTCTATTACCTCAGACTACTTGGCCACTCCTAGATCCCTCCCCATAGTCTTTCTGTATGTAAGGTCCATCTTGTCTCCATGGAGGTGCTTGGATTCTTATAATCTAGCCACTGCTCAGATTCCTAAAATGTAACCACTGCTCTGATTCTTAGAATCTAGCCAATACGTCACAGACTCTCAGATTCCTCAAGAGTCTGGCTAATATGGTGGATCTTTAACAAACCTTGGTTTTGGCTGAAAAAATAAAAATAAATAAATAAAAATACTTTTTCCAGGATCCAGAAACAATTCAAATAGCTTGGAGCCACAATCAGGATCATACAAGATGTAGCAGCTTCCACCTTAGAGGAGCAGAGGGCTTGGAATATGATATCCAGGAAGGCAAAGGAGTTAGGATTACAATCAAGAATAACCTACCCAGAAAAACTGAATATAACCCTTCAGGATCGTGGGGGGGTAGGGGTGGGGGAGGTGGGGAAGAGAATGGATATTTAATGAAACAGAGGACTTTCAAGCATTCCTGATGAAAAGACCAGAGCTGAATAGAAAATTTGGCATTCTTTTACAAAATTCAAGAGAAGCATAAAAAGGTAAAAGAAAAAAGAGAAATCATAAGGGATGAAAGAAGGTTAAATTGTTTACGTTCCTCTATGGGAAAATGATACATGGAACTCCTAAGAATTTTATCATTATTAGGGTAGTTGAAAGGAATCTACATAGACAGAGGGCGTGGGTGTGAGTAAATTATATTGGGATGATCTCAAAAAATAATACTTGTCCCCTCCCTTTACTCCCACTTCTCCCCAACATCTGGAGAATTATAATTGTGTTCAGTTCTGGAGACTGTAGTTTAAGAAGGGTGGTGTGGTGATAAACTGGAGACCATGTAGTGTCCAGAGGAGGGTGATCCTGATAGTGAAAAGCCTTAAGTCACACTATGATTGGTTGAAAGTACTGGTGTTTAGCCTAGAAGCTTGGTGGGGAAAGATATGTCAACTGTTTTTAAATGCTTGAAAAGCCATATGGAAGAGGGATAAGATTTGTTCTATTGGGACCCAGAGGACAGAGCCAGAAGCAATCCGTGGAAGTGGCAAAGAAATGAATTTAGATGATGTCAGGAAAGACTTTCTAGTTATTAGAACTTTCCCAAAGTCAAATGGGCTGCCTCAGGATGTGGTAGGGTCCTGCCTGTTAAAGGTCTTCCAAGAAATTGGAGAGCCATTCTTTTGGTATTATAGTGAGAATTCCTTTCCAATATGGGCTAGGTTGGATGGCTACTGAGGTTTCTTCTAAGGCTAAAATTCTGTGATTCTGGTTCGTATCCTCTAGGTTGAACCAAGGTCAAGATAGAACTGAATCCAGAAGCAGCCACAGACCTCTGGGGACTGGTCAGTCCCAACCTCTCCCCCAGGGTCGACCTTCCTGTTCAAACTGGCATTCAATGTTCTCCATAGACTATTAGCCTCTAACTACCTCTTTAGCTATATGTAGAATTCTAGAATTCAAAGAGCCCTGACATCACCATGAGTAGATACAGAATGAAGCAAAGGAAAAGATACTGAATTCAAATCATGTTTCTATTACTTTGGATCTGTACGACAGCCACTCATCTTCCCCAATGCTCTATCCTGGGCCTTTTTCTTTGTTGCTGATACCCTCTCTTTTCTGGGGAACCTTATCAGCTCCCATGGATTTAATGGTCATATCTTTGCAGATGATTGCTAAATCTATATATCCAGCCTCAGTCTCCACTGAGCTTCAGTACCACAATCACTAATTGCTTACTAGACATTTCAAACCGGATGTCCCGTAGGCACTGCAAACTCAACATATCCGAAACAGAGCTCGTTTTCTTTCTACGCAAACCTATCACCCTTCCACATTTCCCCATTTCAAGAGAAGCATAAAAAGAAAAAAGAAAAATCATAAGGGACAAAAGAAGGTTAAATTCTTTACATTCCTCTATGGGAAAATGACACATGGAACTCCAAAATATTTTATCATTATTAGGGCAGTTGAAAGGAATCTACATAGACAGAGGGCATGGGTGTGAGTAGATCATATTGGGATGATCTCAAAAAAAATGCTTGTTCCCTTCCCTTTACTTCCACCTCTCCCCAACCATCCCAGGTTTACAACCTCAGTGTCATTCTTGACTCCTCTCTCTCCCTTATTTGTATCTAATCAATGGCTAAATCTTGCTTCTATCTCCGCATCTATTGTATGTGCACCAGGACGCACTTTCCTTTCACAAGTCCACCCCACTAGTTCAGGCCCTTATCACTTTTCACTTGGACTATTGCAAGATCCTCCTGTTTGGTCTCTCTGCCCAAATCTGTCTCCAACTCCAATTCATCCTCCATACATCTGCCAAAGTGATTTTTCAAAGGCACAGGCCCCGACCTTGCCACACTCAATCCCAACTAACTAAATCTCAGCAGCTCCCTATCAGCATTCCAAGCCCTTCCCAAGCTGACCCTTTCCAGTCTTTTTGACACATTACGGCCCTCCACAGCCCAGCCATACTGGCCTACTCCTGCTTCTCACACACAATACCCCGTCTCCTATCTCTGTGCCTTGACACTGTCAATGCCCCATGCCTGGAGCGCTCTCATCACCTGCACCTCTTGGAATTCCTGGTTTCCTTCAAGACTGGGCCCAGGTGGCACCTTGTGCAGAAAGCCCTTCCTCATGCCCCAGCTGCTAGTACCTTCCCATCCAAAGTCATCTTGTGTCTGCTTTGTATGTGTCTTATACATGCTTATCTAAGTCTGTGTTGTCTCTTCCCATTAGAATGTAAGCTCCTTGAGGTCAGGGACCATATCACTTTTGTGTCTATATTCCCAGCACTTAGCACAGTGCCTGGCACTTAGTGCTTCATTTTTGTTGTTTGTTGATGGAGTGACTGGTTTCCTCATCTGTGAAATGAGTGGATTGTACTTAGGTGATCTCCAAGCGCCTTCTACCTGATTCATTTTCTCCATTTTTCCTTCTCCTCTGCTTAGGTTGTAGGCCTGCCATTGGGCCCCATGGGTGTTTCTCAGTCCCATTGGTGACTCCTGTTCCAGGCACTAAGCAGCCATCATCTTCCCTCTCAAGGCCCTCAGGACTTAGTACAATGAAATACAGCATATGTTGCCCTGAGAGGACCAGAAAAGTAATCCAAGTCGCTGCTTGACCAGAATGAAATTTCAATTAGAAAGTGTGGAGTAACTAATAAAGAGAAAACCAAAAACATCATGGTGTCCTAAAAAAAAAAAAAAGAACTGAGTTTAGGAGCAGAAAACCTGGGTTTGAATCCTGACTACTACTTACTGACTATGTGACTTTGAACAGATAAATTCCCTTCCTTTGGGCCTCAGTTTACCCATCAGCAAAATAAGATTAGATGGTCTCCTACTACAGGAGATGGTCACCTCTGAAAGGTTTCTTTTGGTTTTGGGTTTTTTTTTTTTTTAGTTTTAAGGCAATTGGGGTTAAGTCACTTGCCCAGGGGTCACACAGCTAGTGTCAAATTTTGGTTTGAGGCTGGATTTGAACTCAGGTCCTCCTGACTTCAAGGCTGGTACTCTATCCACAGTACCACCTAGCTGCCCCTGAAAGGTTTCTTTCAACTCTAAATTTTGATATAAATATTGTTTATCTAAATATGTATATGTGGCATTTATGATATGGAATTTAGCTATATGAAGTTTTTCATATAGCTAAATTTCTATAATATACAATTCCTTCTGCAAAAATGAGTTTAAATGACTATTTTTCAATGTTTTTACATGTAATTGGGGAAAAATAAAATATTAAATAAAAAAAGAAATGGATTTAAAGTAACTAAAGGCAGGAAGTTTATTAGTAAGAGAAATAGGATCAATAAGAACAGATTATAGAATAGGGATCACAAAGCATCCCTTCCCCATGAGGGGAGATTCTTGTATTCAGGGTCCTCAGGTAGAAGGACCCCAGGGTATCTGAGTCCAAAGAATAAACTCTTTTTTTGTGAGGCAATTGGGGTTAAGTGACTTGCCCAGAGTCACACAGCTAGTGAGTGTTATGTGTCTGAGGCCGGATTTGAACTCAGGTCCTCCTGACTCCAGGGCCACTGCTCTATGCAGAATAAACTTGCTGTCTCTGCCTTTGCCTTGTACCTTTCATTGATTTTAGAATCATAGGAGCACAGATTTAGAGCTGAAAGGGACCTTAAAGGCTGTCTAGTCAAAGCCCTTTATTTTGCAGATGAGGAAACTGAGGCCCAGAGAGGTTATAACTTTCCCAAGGTGGCACAGGTAGCAAGTGGCTGAGCTGGGAAGTTGAAACAAAATCTGACTTCAAATCCAATGTGTTTCCTGATGCACCATGCATTTCTCCCAACTTGTAAAATAGGGCATTACAACATCTTCCTTTGGAAATAAAAATCAGTTCCATCCTTTCCCAAGGCCTTCTTGGCCCTAGACCCAAGGAATTATTGGATCCAAGACCAAATCAATAATCAGTAGGCTCTTAATGCACTTGAACCAAATGGATTTGGAGGACTGGATAACTGCTGCCAGCAGACATCACTGCCCAAGAGGCTCCAGGTTAGAGGAGCCTGAGTTTCTTGACCACCATCCAAGGAGAGTAGCTTCCCTTCCCCCACCCCTTTCCCCAGCCCCCAAAGAAAGGCAAAGAAGATCCAGAAAGGTTTATTGTATGAAAGAAAGAACACAACATCTGTACATCTATTTACAGAATGAACTCAACTTATTTACAACAAAATTGAGTCTCTTCCCAGGAGAGGAAGAAGAGAGGGAGGGACACGGAGACCAAGAGTCAGGAACAAAAGGGACTCCAATTGAAGTATTGGGGGACCAGGGAGTGGGGAAGAATTGAAGGAGAAGTAAGGGAAGGAGTGAGAGGGAGGGGCTCTGAGGCCTTCCTCTCAGGAGGCCCAGTGAACGAGTAAGGGCAAACATAAGGGAGTAGGTGGGGAGCAATGTCGAGGACCATCACAGGTGCTCAGGGAAGCTGGGGAAGACACCAGAGGGAAGGCTTAGGAGGTATTCCTTGAACAGTGTCGGTCAGGGTACTAGGGAGGGAATAAGGGCTGAAGTGGGGGACTGTCCTGGGCACTATATGGCCCTTTCCAAGTCCCAAAGGCTCTAACAACCCCATGTCCCTCAGGTGGATGCCTCCAGTGTGTGTTTGCACAGTCTGGCTGCTTTCTGTATTGCAAAAGTTTTGGTTTGTGTACGGCCCCAGGCCTGCAGGGGTTATCTGTCTCTCCCCTTTTCTCCTCCCCCCAAATGCTGCCTGCAGCCATGAGGGTGAGGAGTACTGGGGTGATGGAAAGCACAGGAAGGCTACAGCTCACTGGAACGGACAGCAGGCTCCAGTTTGTGGGAGAGGGCAGTGAGGACCTTGTCAAACTTCTCATAGCGAAGGGCCTGGCTGCTGGCTGCACCCTGGCTGCCCCAGAGAAGGCGCATCTGGAATTCTGTGCTGAACACTTCCAGAAGCTCTGGGAGGGCTTGGAATCCTGTGGGGAGAAAATCAGGTGAAGTCCAGGCCCCATGATCTTCTGCCATCCCCAGAACCTGGACCTTGGAAACACAGCCTCGAAGCCTGGGGGTCTGCCTTCCTGCTCTGCTTAGCTACACCTCATTCATCCCTCAGGGCCCAGCCCAAGTGTTCCTTCTGCTACAAAACCTTCTATGGTCGTTCTGGCACCTAGAGACCACCTCTGGACACTTCTGTCATTGACTCTCTATACCCTTCACTGGGCACAGCATTTATGTTCCTTTCTCTGAAAGAATGAATGACAAAGCTCTTATTAAGCACCATCCTATGGGCAAAGCACTGGGGATTATGTTTATTACTTAAATATTTCACACCTGTGGGCAGCTAGGTGGCACAGTGGATAGAGCACCACCCTGGATTCAGGAGGACCTGACTTCAATCCAGCCTCAGGCACATAACACTTATTAGCTGTGTGACCCTGCGCAAGTCACTTAACCCCATTGCCTAACCAAAAAAAAAAAATTTCACACCTCTGCATATCCCTCCTCAACTATACTGTAAGCTTCCTGATGACAGGGATTTTATCTTATTTATTTTTTTTGAAAAAATCCATTGAGCACCTACCCTGTACAAAGCACTCTTTAGGTGTTGGGGAGTTATAAAATCTAGTTAGGACGCAATCCCTCCCTTAGGGAAGCTTATAGTCTAGTGGGAGCATAAACTACAAACACATGTAACCACAATAACATAATATGACATGTTAAGTGTAAGAAAGAAATACAAAGGCAAGTGCTTTGGGAGGCCCAAGTGAGGTCATTGCTGCCTAGAGGGATCGGGGAAGGCTTCTTAGAGGAGGTGACATTTAAGCTGTGCCTTAAAGAATGGGTGGGAATTCAATTGGTACATCTTGGAAAGAGATGAGTACTAAGCTCTACACAATCTATGTTAAATTAAATGAAGAAAAGGGGATAATGGAAATGGAAAAGGGGGGGAGAAAAGGGGGGAGAGAGACAGATTCAGAGACAGAGAGAGAGGGAGGGGGAGAGAGAGAGTGCTGAAGAAAGGTGGGAAAAACAGGAGAAAGGAAAAGAGCAAGACCCAGAGGGAAAGGAGATAGAAAAGAATATGGTCCACAAGTGTCAGCTGCCCCAAAGAGCTCTTCCAGGCTATCAGCCTTGATGGTGCTCCTGAGATAGGCTGAGCATCCCCGTGCTCTGAGGAATTGGCCTGGGGCTGCCTGCTAGTTGGGATTCCATCTTTGGGCTCCGTGGTGCCTTACCTTGAAGCTTGACCTCAGCATTGGTGTGGTATAGGGCCCCATGATGGGCTACGGTGCGGGCAGCCTCCAAGTGTGCAAGGATGACTTCCACGCCATGCTCTGTGCTTTCCCAGGGCTCCGGGCCCTCTGCAGGTGCAGTGTCACACTCCAGAAGGGTGATGAGGGGTACCACATGAGGGAAGGTCGTGTTGCTCAGTGGCGGGCTGTCTGTAGTTAGGAATAAACAGAGGGGCAGCTAAAGCTTCCATCCACTGCAACTTCTGAGTGCCTTAGATATATATGGGGGTGGGAGGAGGGATGTCAGGGCCATATTGGATCTGTGCTCCTAAAGGTCCCTCAGCCTCCATCCCTGGTACAGAAATACCCCTGTCTTCCTCTTCTTTATGGGTCAATTAAACCAAAGAGAAGCTCACAAAGTATCACAGAGGGGCAGAGCCAGAAAAGACCTTAAAACATGAAATGTTACAGTCAGAAAGGGACCTTAGAGGTCATCTATAGTCAAAGAAACAGACCCAAGCCAGTGGAATAACTTGCCCCAGATCACATTGCCAGTTCATGGCAAAGCTGAGATTAAAATGCATCTCTTAAATCTCAAGTCTGTAACTATACTGCACTAGATGGGAGCGATGTGGGAGCTTCCTTTCCTGAACCCTACAAACCTTGATTCAATGAGATAATTGTAAAGCACTTAGCACAGTGCCTGGCGCATAGTAAGAGCTGTATAAATGTTTATTATTATTATTATTATCTGCACCTAAAAGGGCCCTGAGTACGAGGGAAGAGGGAAGACTTTACTAGGCCCCCTTGGCTTGGGATGCGAGTTTGGTCCCTGTTCAACCCTGGTCTGTGCCGGTCCTTCTCTGAGGCCTGAGTAGTTCTGTGCCTGTAACTGTGTGACAGCTCAGGCCCGTTGGAGTGGGAGTGCGGTGCTCGCCAGGGGAAAGGGGAAGTACCCAGGAGGAGCCTACCTTTGCCCTCATTGAGGCTCTTCAGGAAGGGCTTCAACTTCTTCTCATACAGGATGGCCCCTTCTGTGTGCCGCTGCCGCAGGGTCATCCAAGTCTGCTCCAGTCGTGAGATCTGGGTGTCGGGGGAGGGGGGAGTGGACACAGGATACAAGCAATGGTAGATGAGTCAGAGGAGAGGGAAGGACAAGGGTCTTTGCTGGAGGCTGCCAGTCGTAGGTGGATTTTTGCTTTCACAAAACCTAGCATAGGAAGCCCTCAATATTTTATCATGATTTTTTTTTCCAATTCAACAAACCATCACTGAGTACCTGCTGCTACTTTGGGTCCAGATTTGTGGTTCTACCAGTGGAGGGCAGTCCTTTCATGACACAAGGGCACAACTACTCTGTCCCTTATTGTCTAGAGCAGGAACCTTGGGCCTGAACGAGGTTAAAGTGTAACTGGGAAATATTTAACAAAATAAATAAAAGTACATTAAGATATAGGTAATGTCAACATGTTTTCTAAGTCAATGCATGGCCCACAGGGATCCTCATGTATGGTTTAGTGGCCACTGTTTCCACTTGAGTTTGACACCACTCTAGAGAGGTACCTAGGGCACTGAGAAGTTCTCCACATCACACAGCTTGTATGTGTTAGAGGCTAGAACTCAAACCCAAGATTTCCTGATTCCAAGGCCAGAACCCTATCCAGCTATGCCTTTCAAGCCCTTAATATGATGAAATCCAGATTTACAAAACTGGATCAATTTAACAGGAGAAGGGTGGGGATGGGTGGGGAAAGGGAAGGAAGGTTACTCATCATTTACGTTACAAAAGCATTTTTCTTTTTGACAAGAAGATGCCGGTTTGAATTTCCTTAAAACAGTAAGACTTGCCCTTGGTGTGGTGCATTCTTTAGGATAGAGAACCCATCCCTTTTACCAATCCAGTTCTGCATCTGCTTTTTGTTTTATAATCTTGGACGATCTACCTGGGGCATTGAGAGATTATGTGACACGTCCAAGAATAGGACTTGCCCACTGTCAAATAGTAAGACTTAAACCTCTCTCCCCTATACCAGACTGCCTCTCTAAAGTACCTTTCAGTGCATTTAAAATGTCGTTGTTGTTGTCTTAAAATAGGATTTAGAGTTGGAATGGCTGAGCTCCTCTAATTCCAAATCAATTTCCCCTGCTCTATACTGGTCTCATTAGATTTACAGATGGTGCAGAGGAATTAGTCTGCCCCCCACCCTACACTGAAATTCCCAGCTAGCTGTGCACTTCTCTTAGGCAATGCAGCCACTCAGCTGCTACTGCTCAAGGCAGACTGAGGACCCCGGAGTGCCCTGACCTAAGCGAATTCCTCACACAGTGATCCAGCCTGCTGGGGGGGCAGGGAAGGAGGGAGATCTTGGGCGTCAGCCTCTACCTGGGCCATGTCCAAGGCACTCATGACTGCAGCAAAGCTGAACATGTTGCCCATCGTTCCCCGGAGCTCAGCTGCCAGCTGGATGGTCTTGTGCAGCAGGGCCGCCCGCTCCTCTGTGGAGCCTGTGCAGCCCAGGATGTCCACAGCCAGCATGATGGACATGGTGTGGAACCTGTGAGAGGATGAAAGGAGGTGGGTCAGAGAAGAGGGAGGGGATGACTAGGTCGGGGGTGGGGAGGGCCAGGAAGGGCTACTTGAGCTGGGAATAATTGAGATTGGTCAGCTGAGTACAAGGGGTGGAACTAGGAAAATTAGAAACTCAGGCTCCTAAGATCAAGGGTGGAAAAGGATCTTATAGCTAATGTAGCTCAAACCAATCATTTATAGATAAAGTGAAAACTAGAGGGGTTTCCTAATTGGCCCAAGGTCACGCATGTAAGTGGTACGGCACAGGAACGGAATTCAAACCCAGTGCTCTGGACCCTATACCATGGACGAAGGCCACCTGCTCCTGGCACCTGAAGATACTCTGGGATGTAAATGCTCTCACATGCATATCTTGGGGATGCCAGATCCAGGGATTCCCCATATAAGCCCAACCTCTCCTCTCCCCACCCAGCCTCCGAGGCCCCTTCTCACCGTTCCAGCAGGTCCAGTCGGAGCTGCCGACCGTGGGGGAGTGTTAGAAGCTCCATGCCCGAGCGGACTCCCATGAGCCCTTGCATCTCCTTGGTAACGCCCAGTATCCTAGCAACCTGCCGGGATGCCCAGAGAGCTGATTAATCTCCTCTCATTGGGGAAGGGGGCCAGAAGCAAGGGGTCAGGGGAAGAGGAATCGCTGAATTATAGAACTATAGAAGGTCATCCAGTCCACAGCCTTGATTTCACAGATAAGTTATGGGTGATACAGAGAGTGAAAGGACTTTGCCAAGGTCCCACAACTAGTTAGTGGCAAAGCTGGGGTGTCCCTGTTCAATCACAGGGTCACAGGATTTTGGGCTAGAAGGACCTTAGGGGTTGTCCAATCCAACCCCCTCATTTTGCAAATCAATAAGCTAAGGTTCCAAATGGTTAAGTGACTTGCCTAGGGTTACACGGGTTGTAAGTAGCAGAACCTGGGGAGGAGGGAGGGGGAGGGGAATAAGCCACTTCTCTGAGCAGCCCCCCAGGGGAAAGCTGAAAGGCAGGCTCTGCCGCCTTCTTGCCCCCTTTCAAGCCCGTACCAGACAGTCGACTTTGGTGACGTGCCGGGCTAATGTCTTGGCATCCACATCAGCAAGCAGTTCTTTCACCTTCTTAAGGATGCTCGTCTCTAAGGGTTTGTTGTCCTTGGGAATCAATAGTGACTGGAAGGTGGTGGGGTTGAAGGAAGAAGTCACCTCTATGACAGGCAGTACGAAGCCTCCGCCCTGCTCCCCTTCAGGGGGTCCATTCTCCGGTGCCCGCCCACCCATGGAATGCTGTCCTTCTTCCACTTTCAGCCGTTCTACATAGCTCTTGACCCCACCAAGGCGGGTTGGAGGTTCAGGTGCCATGCGTTCTCGGCTGCCCCTTGTGGGTGGCTGAAGCTGGCAGTAGTGGCCAGAGTCCGGGTCACTGTAGCTGTTGAGGGATGGGGATGGGGAAGCCTGGCGGTAGCTATGACAAGGGGTGGGGTGGACGCTGTTGCTTGGCTCGCTAGGTGGTTTGGTGCCATTTCCTGGGCACAGCTGGGGCTCACTGGAACGGCGGATGACAGGGGAAGCAGGCGTCATCCCAGCGGACGGAATGCCTGGAACATTTACTCGAGTCACTGCAGAGAGATAAGGGAAAAACTCATAGAATCAGAGGATTTGGGACTGGGAGGTATCTTACAGATCAATTAGCCCAATCTTCTTATTTTACAGTTTAGGAAAATGCTTCACACAGGAAATAAGTAGCCAAGTAAGATTTGAATCCAGGTCCTGACTCCAAATCAGTACTCTTTCTACAACGTTAGTTACTAAGGCTGAGAACCTTAGGTACAGACACTGGGATCTAATGCCTTTCCCATCATTTGTTAAACTGACTTTGCTTCACCCCCAGGGTGAGTCCGCCTTCCTCCCCACCAAGGGTGTGGCCAAGCTAAACATTCTTCCTCAGTCTCTGCCATAGAAGAGGGAGGTGCTGATTCAAGTGACTGAGGCCAAGCTTGGCATTACACCCTGAAACCTAGACATTCAGAATATCTAACCTTTGAGTTATTAATGGTGCCCCCAAGAGACTCAGCAGGACTGAAGACCACTCAGCGACTTCATGTTGTTTAGTATTTAAAATAAGAATGATTATTTTGGGAGGCTTGTTTAAGAACAGTAAACAGTATTTGTTGAGTCATGTAATCTTTAAGAGAGGGCTTTGAGAGATAGGCTTAGTGGATAGATCTTAGTGTGGCTGACCTATGAGTTAGGAAGACCTGAATTCAAAACTTGCCTCTAAAACATAAGTAGATGTGTGGTCATGGGGAAATCACTTGACCTTCTGGTTCCCCAGGCAACTAACCCTTTGAAGACTATAAATTACACAGTGGTGGGAGTTTTCCTACTGATAGTTCCTTATAGCAATGAAATCTCAAGTCTGGATAGATGAACTTTCACATATGAGGGTTTTTCAAAAGGGAAGTTTATCTGCTGAATCCTCTTTGCACAAGGCACAGTGTAGTCATCTACAACAAAGTTAGGTAATACGGTTTTGAAAATAAAAATGGAGTGGGTAGGTAGTCAGAAGGCTGCCCTTGGGAATCAGGAAGATTTGGGTTTAGCTGCTGCCTCTGACCCAGAGTGGCTGTGCAGCTCTGTGTCATTCACCTACGCTTTCCTTGCTTGAGTCCAGGGGTGGAGAACCTGGGGCCTGGAGGCCACATGTGGCCCTGTAGGTCCTCAAGTCCTGAATCCAAACTTAAAGTTGAGGACTTGACCTAGAGGCCCCAGGTTCTCCACCCCTGCTCTAGTCAATTAACTCCTTAAGACAAGAAGATTCCAACATGCATTGGTAGAGGAAATTGCTCACCAGGAGCTGCAAACACTGATTAAACCAAGGTTTGGTCCAAAAACAGGCTGCTTCCTTAGTCCCTTGGTCCCCAGGCACATTTCCCACTCCCACCCCCAAGACTTTCCTCCCTTTGCTGGACTCTGAAGGCAAACAATCCCTCCCAAGGCTTCAACAAGGAAAGAGTACATTTTGGAAACCCAAACTTTTCTGCATTGAAAATTACTCACAGGTCCCCTTTGCGTAGGGACCATGTTTCAAGGAGCAGGGTCCCATTCAGTGTGTACCGACTCACAGGCAGTTATGGCCAATAAAAGTGAACAGGCTTGCCATGCAGCCTGAAAAAAAAAGTGCACAATGAAGGACTGCTTGTGTGTAATACACTGGAAATAATAATAATAATAATAGCTAGCATTTATATGGCGCCTACTATGTGCCAGGCATTGTGCTAAAGTGATTTGTAAATATTACCTCATTTGATCCTCACAACAACCCTGGGAGGTGGGTACTATTGTTATTCCCATCTTACAGTTGAGGAAACAGAGGCAGACAGAGGTCAAATGACTTGTCCAGGGTCACTCAGCTAGCAAGTATCTGAGGCCAGATTTGAATTCAGCTCTTCTTGACTCCCGGCCTGGCCCACCATCCACCACAACATGGAGCTACCTCTAGGAACTTTCTTTTTTGAATACCTCTCCCCTTCCTGTGGGCTTCTTATTTATTGATTTAAATTATTTCCACTAGGAGTTTGCTGGTTTGGACGGTGCATACATTCTGTAGTCCTGAGAGAGCTTGAAGAATAAGTCATTTTGTTACATCAGCTATTTTAAGGAAGGTGACATGATGTGAGAGGCAGGTCTAGAGATAGGTCCACCTATTCTCTGACCAAAAGATTCACACAGGACTGAAGCAATAATGACCGTACACACACACACACACACACACACACACACACACACACACACACACACACACCCCCAAGATAACAATTCACAGTCGGAGGCCCAGAGAGGCTATTGGTAGCCAGCTCTCCCTTCTTGTCCCTTCCTGCAGGGCCATACCAGTGCTATAGGCTGGTGATCCAGGGCTCTCAGAGATGGGAGACATGGGGGAGTGCAGGTCTGGGATCTGGTCCATGCTGAGGGCACAGTTGCGGATGGCGTCACGGTGAGGGGGCAGAGACACACTGCAGACCAGAGAAGAGCAGATTACATCCCCTCAGCTCAGTACCTGGCTCACCTGGGTGCCCTCCACTATTGGCTATCCCCACGTGTTGCCCTCTTGTCCTGGACCCCTGCATTACTCTGCCCGACCTTCTCTACCCTGCCTCCATCTTCTGCTCCCCATCCTTCTAGTCCAGGTTTCCTAAACCTAGAATGTCTTCCCTTTCCCACATCCCCTTCCTCTATCCTATGAAGTCTGAACATTGGAGGTTTGAGGTCAGGAGGATGGTTCATTCAGAGACCAGTGAGACCAAGAAGCATGTTTGCAATTGACTCTCCCCCTCCTTAGCGGGGAACCCCTTTCTAGGATCAGGCTGCAAGGTTGCTCCCTGATCGTGTGCCTCAGTTTCTCCTCAGAGTGAAACCTCGTTGACATAATCCCATTATCCCTCCCTTTCTTCCCTTCACTTAACCCTTCACTCACACAACCTCTCTCTCTGAAACTGGCCCAGATAACACAGAGTTTTTAACCCCTGGGTTTGGGATATCTGCCTGGCTGTCTTTGGAGAGCAAAACCAGAGCCCTTCCCCAGGAGGTACGTAGTGAAGAGACCAAATGCACCATCTATGCCTCCTGCTCCAGGGTGGACAGACCTCAACTCCATTCCTTTGGAACGGAGAGAGCTGAGAAGCCGGCAGGGGTGATGAGGAAGCTAAAGGGAGGTGGCCCAGCTCTGAGCTCCTGGAGTCCATCAGGGCCTCCATGCTCTCCAGCACCTGGCTTCATGGCATGCATTGTGGTTCTTGGCACGAGCTTCAGCCTTTGATTCCAGGCCACAAGCATTTCTGCTGCTGCCCACCCAAGATTGATCTAGGCTCAAGCAGCACCAGGCCCTTTCCAACATTCTCAGGCCCAGGATGAAAGGAGGTACCTCCTCACCTAGGGGGCACAGAGAAGAAATGACTTTCTCTCATTCATGTCATGGACTAAGTCCCAATGGGTAAGGATTCTGGGGTTCTCTGATAAACTACAGAAAGGTCTTTGAGAAGAGACCAAGAAAATATATTGGGAAAGAAAAAGGGGGTCCTAGGATCCAGGTGCCTGGGTCCTGTCCACAATAAAGCCTCCTAGGAGAAAGTTATGTCAGTGCCCAGTGTCCTGGGTACTGTTATCCCCTTCCTTAGGGGAAATGGGAGTATGCACAGACTCATGGTGAAGACCCTACTTCCTTCTCCTAGCTCTACCACCAGGTGATAGAGGGTATTGGGAAATCAAGGAGAATCTCATCTTAGCCCAGGTCTAGGCAGACAAGGATCCTCTCTTCCTCAAAGGAACAAGGTAAGCACACTGGTGGGTAGCATAGAGCCACTGAACATAGAATGCCAAGGCTGGAAGGCACCTCAGATATCATCAATTGCTACATTTTACCGAGGGAGAAACTGAGAGGAAGGAGAAGTGATTTGCTGCAGGCCCCTTACCTGGTAGGGCAGCCCTCGCCCCTGGTTATCTTGTCTGCTGTCAGCCCATCGGTCATGGTGACACTCCTCCTCTTCATGTGGCCTCCCTTCTGGCTGGAGGGGCTGGCAGGGCCCCCAGATTTGCTGTGAGTAAGCCCATAACTGGCCTCCAGGTAACGCAGGGGGAAGGTGCGGTTGATGGGACAATAAATAATGGCTCCACTCTGCTCGGACACAGCCTTGCGGCTTCCCACATAATAACGGACCAATGCAGGTACATGGTCAAAGCTCTCTTGTTCAAAGAGGTATTGGATATGGGTATAGTTCTCACTGGCCTTCACCATAACCTTGTTGACCTTGAAGTGCAGGGGCTGGTTGTGCCAGCGACAGGTAAGGACATAGTCACCAAGGCTAGTTAATGAGTCGCGGATGAGGAAGTCACCATTCCGTTGAACCAGGCTCTCTGAGACCTGTGGAGAAACGTATTCAGAAGCCGGTACTTGGGAAAAGGGAAGAGAGGAGAGAAGGGCAGGGTCATGTTGATATCAAGACCCAGGGTACATGGGGCCGAGGAAGTTCACATTCAGAGCCAAGTGTCTGGGTGGGGGTGGGGAGAAGGGAGTCAGACATGTCCACACTCATATCATCATAATCAACATTATTGTCACCACTGCCACCACCATCATCACTACTACTGTTCCCATATCACCAGCATCACTAAATCTTTATCACTGCCACCATCCTCATTATCACTTCTATCAGTCACTTCACCACCTTCACTTCTCCATCATCAGCCTTCTTGTCATTACCTCCATAAGTATGCTTGTCACTATTGTTATTACCATAACCAGTGTTACCACCATTGCCACTGTCCAACCCCATTATTATGCCACTATTATTGCCCACATTGTTATCACCATCATCACCACCAATGACCGTCACCACTACCAAACAGTGTTTGAGCACTTCCCTAGAGAGGGCACTCTTGGGGGCATGCTATATAAAGCAACTGTTTGACTGTTGCTCACACAAACCTCACTCTGCATACACGGAAGTTTTCTTCCTACACTAGGAAGTCTGCACAGATTATATTATTGAATTGTATTTTTCAAGTCCATGAGCAAGTTCTATCTTGTGAGTGTGATATATACCAGGGGACCAGGGCTGCAACAGAAGGCTGGGAGGTAGAAGCATCAGTTACAGAAAGCCCAGCTCCTTCCTCTTTCAGGAACCTATGACCCCAGGCTGTGGGAAAGTCCACACTAATCCTATCCTTCCACACAGCTCTGACAACCACCACATTCAGACTTTCATCTCTTCCCCTGCATCCAGGCAGATGTAAATGCAAGAACCATTTTTAAATCACCAGAAGCTAGGCTCATCTGGGCACAGCTCATTGAGAGCCAGAGCCAGGCCCCAGGCATATGGGCCCCCACTCACCTCTCGGGGAATGCGGCCATGGTACCAGGCGTGGCTTCGGAGGTCAGTGCTACTCAGTTTGAGCTCCTCCTCCAGTTCTTTGTGAAGTTTCTCAGGGGAAGAATCCAATATGTACTTCTCCTTTGAGAACTGGGAAAAGAAAGACAGGGGGTGTTAGCCGCAGATAGGGAATTCCTCACATCCTCCTATCTGATCCCTTTGCAAATGGCTTCCCCCATCCCTGGAGACACTGAGGCCTAGTGTCTGGAAGATGATTTCCCCAATAAGGAGAATCCCTCGATTGTCTCTGGAAAGAGCTTTCCCATACAGAAGGTCATCCTAGGATATAGGCGGGGCAGAAATGAGGATTCACATTTACCAGATGATAAAGCAGAAGCCCAAGGAAAGAAAGGGATTTCCCAAGGTCACATGGAGAGTTAGTGGGAGAGCCAGGATTTTCCAAAACCAGAGCTCCTGACTGTAAGCCAGCCCTCTTCTCACTACATCTATATGCCTTTTCTTTCTCTCCAGTTATTACAATTTGACACCTGATGCCCTGGTCCTCCCTCCTTCCGCTTTTCCTGCCACAGGTGTGAACTTCGACAGGTTATTCTTGGCTTTTCCATCCCCAGTGGGCTGGAGGCTGACGGAATCCTGGAGAGACCTAGGGCCTGGGAGAATAGCACCAGGAGGGAGGGAGATGAGGGGTTGCTTATTTCCCTTATCAGGATAGGACAGGAAGAAAAGCAGCTGCCTTGACTTAGCTTGGAGGGAGGATGCAAAAGAAATTTCTATCTTGAAATCTTCCCCTGTCCAGCCTCTATCTTGGTCATTGCTTTAAGCAACTCCATTCCAAAATTCAAGACCCAGAGAACTAAGGGAGACAATATGTGTCAGTGCAAATGAGCTTTTGACAGGGTCTGTTCTACAGATGGGCTTTATCACCTTATGTCACAGATCCACTCTGAACCTTAGCTTGTCCCAGCTCTGACATTCTGAGTGAAGAGTTTGAAGACAGACAGACCCAGCCCATGCAGACTACAGCTGAAAAGATCTCCCTAAAGCTTAGGGTAGGGGAACACCTTTGTTCCTATCACCTCCTTGTCCTTAGGGGTCCTTACATTAAACCCAGAGGGTTTATGCCCCTAGAGTCTAGGGGAGGAGGGGATGCTGGAGGCCTGACTGGATGGAAAGAGGAGAGTCCCCGGTGCTGCATCCGCTCTCTGCCCCGTCATTGGCCAGAGATGATCTCACTGCTTCCCAGCTTGCTGGTGTGTGATTGGTTGGGGCCTCAGGGATGCTGTTGTCAGCTGGATGGGGGCCAGTCATTCATGCAGGGCTCAGGGATGAGCGTGTGTGAGAGAGAGAGGGGGAAACAGGGAAAGGGAGAAATGATCAGGTCTCTGTCTCCCTGAAAGAGGCTGGAGCCTAAATGGTAAAGTGAAGGGAAGATGGCAAAGCAATGACTGGGGGTATGTGACTAGTCTCCTCCTGTCTAGCCCCCCTTTTCCACTTGGTTTCTTTTTTAACCCTTCCCGTGCCTCAGTTTCCCAACCCTATGGAAGCCTAACACATCCAAGATTGATGCTCATCCAGGGAGACTGAGGTCCTCCCCCTCCCCTGGCTCCTTGGCTCTTGGTTAACTCTTTCATGCTAGGATCTAGTCCCATACCTGCACTAGCCAGACTGGGTTCAGAGATCCCTGCCTCAGATGTGACAGTGCTTGCTGGGGCAACAGTCCAAACCCAACCCCTACTCCTACCCCAGGCAATTCTCCAAAGGGCAGGTAAGTGGTTTGCACTTAAGCACCAGCCCAGTCCCAAGCCCCATTGCTTTTTCTCACCAGCTCTCCTGCCCCCAGCATGGCCACAGGACAGAAACCAGAGATCAGAGCCTTCTGGATACAATGGGAACACTTCCCTCCTTCCCTACTGTACTCTCTTTCCCCAAGTTTGAAGGGGCTCAGAGCTTCAGATTGGCTGTAGAGGGGAAGGGGCTACGGTAGAAGGGAACTCCTTCTGGGCATCAAGGGCCACTTGGCAGGAGACAGTGACCCCATTGCCTCCCTCTGACCCATAGAACTCTAGTTCTGCAGGATGAGCTGGCACCGGGGGAGGCACAGACCGGTTTCCTGAAACCAGAATTGGAGATGGGGCTGCTCCCTCCAGATCCTCCATCCACAGGGGAAAGGGGTGGGGGAGGCAGAAGGAATGGAGAGTGTTCCCCCTGTCACCCACAAGTGACAAGGACATTGAGCTTGGTGATGGGGGTCAGTGAGAGAGCAGCACCCTCTCCTTTCTGGATGGGGGCAGATCCTCCCGTTCCCTCACCTTGCGGCAGACCAGCCAGCCCCGCAGTAGGTTCACCCACCCAACCCCTTACACACCAAGTGGGCAGCACCCATTTGTCTCTTCTGACCCCAAACATGCAGCCAATAGACAAGAGGGGTCCCCTATCAGCCACAAGCCTCACAACACATACTAAGAATGACATGGTCCCCTGCCTACCACCGCTGTCCCCTTATAGAAACAACCCTGAGGTGTCCTCAGCTGCCTCGGCTCCTAGACAACTGGCCCCTGGTCCAGGATATTACTCAACCTGACCCCTTGAAGCCCTGAGGCAAAGGGCATCCTCTTGCCTCCCTCCCACCAGCCGTCGACCCCTCACCTGCACGAAGGAGCCCCGGTAGAAGCAGCATGCCGCCGCTGACAGGGCACTCCACAGGCTGCAGCGCTCCGTCATCGCTGGCCGCTCTGGGCTCTGGGCCCGGGGGCAGCAGGAGCCCAAGGACTCACTTGGGGTTAGCAAGGTGGTAGGGGGCTGGCGCACTGATAGTGTCTGAGCTGGGCTGGGACCAGGGCTGAGGCCACCAGCAGCCGCTCAGCTTGGGTCTGTGCCTCTTCCTCAATTACCTCATCTCCTTGTTAGGGGAGGAGCAGGGAGGTGGGGGGAGGGAGGGAGGGGCGGGGAGACCCCACCCCCCTAGCCAGCCAGGGAGAGGGGAGGGGGCTATTGTTCCTCCCTCAGCCTGCCTCCAGACTCGCCCCCTCCTCCCTCTCCTCTCTTACATCCCCCTTCCTTTTTCTCCTTCCCGGAGTGCTGGCCAGCTCCATCCCGGGTCTCCTAGGCTCTGCAGTCATGCCCCTAGGAGGAATTACCATGTGGGGAGGGCTCTGGGGGAGCTGACGAGAGAACCCCCTAAGAGAACTTTATAGTGGGGTCTTGGAGGGAGAACGGCTAAGGGCATTTCGTGCTCTATTTGTCGGGGGGGGGGGCGTAGCGCTAAAGATTCCCCTACATAAACACACTCCTAGCCTTGAACATCTTATTGAAGGAGTGAGTTCAGAATCAATCAACTGTAATGAATTTTTTTTTAAAAAAAAATCCTATTTGCATTAAAAGAATAAATTAAGGGACTCTGCCTTACAAAGGGACTCACAATAGGCCTTTTATACAGAATTTTAGAATATTAGAAGCATAGAATTTTAGAATTCTGGAACTAAGTAAAGGTCACTTAGTAAACCTCCCTTTTAGTGTGATTTTAATTTTTATTATTATTATTAATAATAATAATTTTATTTGAGCTTCCTTTCAGTGCAGTAACCCTTCAATAACAAGTGATGTTTGACAGAAGTTACAGTGAAAAGAATGTTGGATTTGGAGTCAGTCAGTCAATAAACATTTATTAAGCACCTACTATATTCTAGACACTGTGCTAAGTGCTAGGGATACAAAAAAAAAAAAGAAGACAATCCCTGCTGTCAAGGGACAAGTCAAAGGGTCTGGGATTCATATCCTGCCATTTCACTGCCCATGTGACCTTGGGCAAGTCATCTGCCCTCCTTTAGGCCTCAGTTTCCCCATCTGTAAAAATGATGGGGTTTGACTAGATGATGTCTAAAGTCACTTCCAGCTCCAAACCTATGATCCCATTACCTCCAGTACTACCCAGTGAGGCTGCCCATTTCCACTGCTGGACAGCTCTAATTGTCCTTCCCTCTCCTGAGCTGAAATCTGCCTCCCTGTAACTTCTGCCTTGGTTTTTCTTCTGGCCTGTGTTTTCTCTCCCATGTGATGAAGCTATCTCCCTCTTCCAGATTATTGCTCATATGTCTTCCAGACTCTTCATCATCCTGTCATCTCTCCTCCTTCAATTCATCTTAAGTATAAGGAACAGTTGGCAGGTGGTGAAAGGAGCTAACAAGGCTGGAAGTCAGGAGATCTGGGTTCTAATCTCAGCTCTGAGATTTCATAAAAAGGTCATAAATCTAGAGCCAGAAGGGACCTCGACTAACATCCCTCACTTTATATATCAGAAAACTGAGGCCCAGGGAGCTTAAGGTCATACAGGGAATCTCAGAGGCCGGACTGTTCTGTAGGGCTGGTGTTCTTCCCACTGTTCTATGGTTCTATGTTTTCTCAAGTCTTCTCTGAGGCTTCATACTGGAAAGGGGTAACCCACTACTCTAAGACCTATACAACTTCCTCCAGCCCCGCCCTACTACTAGCCCTTTCCTCACTTTCAGATGATGGAAAAAGGGAAAGAAAGACAATGGAGTACTCACCTTCACATAGTCCCCTCCTGACTCCAGACCAGTATGGACACTGCAAAGAACAGAGGAAAGCGAGTGCTCCCAACCATCGCCACTTGTGCATCCACCCAGACCCCACCAAGCTGTCTCAGTCAGAGGACCCCTCTGAAGTATTTGTTCGGCACACAATAGCACTTAACAAATGCTTGTTGATTGAAGGATTGGTGAGCAAGGAGAGGGGCTAAGGATGGTAAGGGCTAAGATATCTCCCTCTGTAGCCAGGACTATATCTGGGCTACTAAACAGATACATTCTGAACCTTTCTCAGTAACCTCTCTTGAAACAGGGGTGTAATGGCACCAAGCTGGGTGTCAAGACACCTGGGTGTTAGTCCTGCCTTTGTGATGACTCTAAAATCTCATGACTCTATTCATATGCTATTTGACTTTGGGCCAGTCTCCATCCTTTTCTGGACCTAGTCCCCCTTCCCCATGTATGAACTGAGGGAGATGGCCTGGTTCACAGCTACATTCCCTTTCTGCTCTATCATTTAATGATTCAAGTTACCACTCCCCACCATGAGTAGCAACAGAAAGTCCTTCCCAACCTTGGAACCCAATTCTTCATCCTATAGTTTAGCCACAGACAGTCATCTAAGGTAGACAGAGGAATGTTCTGCATGGTTCCACATCCCCTCTTTAGGGTATATGGCAGGGAGATAGAATGAAGCATTCCCTTACCTCTCCAACCCCACCCTGTTTTTCCCGGGTGAGGTGGTTCATCCTACAGTTTCCGGCCATTCAGGTCCGGATATCCTTCCACTTCTGGGAACAGGGAGGGCCTGGGACATCGGGATCGAACAAGTGTTTCCTCTGGCTTTTCCTGCCTAGGTTCCTCCCACCTAGGGCCTGGTGGCTCAAGAGCAAAGCCCTGAGGAGTTCAAGAAGGCAGAAGGGCAGACAGGGCCAAGAAACAGCTGTTGAGTCTGAGGGTCAAGGCCCCATGAGGCTGTAGAATGAGTCCGAGGCGGACAGAAGGGGCAGAAGCACGAACGCTGGGCTGCATCCTGCAAGGAAACCTGCTTCCAGGCTCAGCTTGATTACTCACTGGCCTTGAGATAATGAGCAAGTCCCTTCCCCTCACTAGGCCTCAGTTTCCAAGTCTTTAAAAAGAGAAGGATGACTCCAAGGCCTCCTTTTGCTCAAATACAAATATGATCTATCCAGATTAATTCAGTTGCTGTATTTTCACTTGATTCTTCTCCAGCATTATCAAATCCAGTAATAAAAAAAAATCATGTTTTAAAAAATCAGCTCCATTAATTAAGCATAGTAATTATTTAAAAGAGCTGGCTCCATTCATCTATTTTTATATTTTTATTTTGTATACTCACAAGGTGCTCAATTATTCAACAATAGCAAAGGTTGAGATAAATCAGTTCAATTAATTATTTGATTAATCAGCATTAATTACATTGATTGATCACATGAGCCAATCTATTTTGATTATTAATGCTTGCTAATTCCCTCGTTAGCTGAAATAACCATGCTGATAAGTAGTTTTAATAACCCATTTCCCCCTTTGCAGAGAGCTCATGGCACTTTTCAATCTGATGTTTCTCCTTCAGCTTTTAGAGTGAGATGACTCTCTGCGTGGATGAGAAGGGAAAAATGGAGGCCTGAAAGGGAGAAAGAAAGAACCAGCCCCAATTCCTTCAGCAAGTTAGCCGCTGACCTGGGAAGAAGGAGACAATGAAAAGAGCGGATCTTCCTGTCCTCGTTCTATCTGGACTTACGCCAAGGGGTGTCAAGGGGTGGCCACTTCCTGTCCTCGTCCCCAGTCTTTGAGTAAAAGGGTCACTAGAGTATCTAGAAGGTTCTTAAGACTCAGGGATGTCATCCAAGAATTAGTGAAGGGGAGAGACCAGAGTCTTCTGTGAATAGCCCAGATGAGATCTTCCTTTTGGTGAAAGAAAGAATCCCAGAAACTCCAGGTTTCTCCTAGTGCCCATCTGCCACATTCTGGGTGGTCATCACATCTGAAATGGTCATCAAGTAGCTTTCCAGAAAGAAAAGCCAGAAGGGAGATCTTCTCTTGGAAAGTCTGATGCCTCATTCATTCATTCGTGCATTCATTCATTCATCTGAGCATTGTAGAGTATGTGCCACTTTCATGTTGAAGAAGCTTCTGGGCTGGTATTTATCACGCTGGCTATTCCCTTTTACTTGGACACTCACCGACTATCCACGGGAGAACCCCGTAGCAAAGAAAACAAGGGGAGCTTTTCTGAGGCAGCCTAGTGTGGCCCTAGGAATCTGGGTGACTTCTGCATCTCTGTGTTATGCCAGGAGGTCCTGTGTTGTGTGAGTGTGTGTCTGCAGTTGTGTTCCCAACTACACCGGGAGCTGTGGGCTTGGCCATAGAGTGTGTCTCAAGGTCGGAGACAACTAGGTCTGTCACAGCACCGGCTCAGCTCTTCCTCATTCTCTCCAATGTGTCTGTACCAGACGTCATGGGGCCTTTGTATTTGGGAGTTTGTAGGGACCTTTGTAGTTTGGGGGATTGACAGTTGAGAAGTTCAGTCTCACCATCACCAGGGAGACCTGATGCTGGACTCATCCCCAGCCAAGGGAAGCTGAATTCCATGAGAAGAGGAATTGTTGTTTGTTTCTTTGTAGCTGCAGCACCTAGCATAGTGCCTGGTACATAGCAGTCACCTATCAACAATGCTGATTGGCTGATAAAGAGAGAGGAAGCTCAGTTTTTCCCCATGTGGCTGGCTTCCCTGTGAGGTCAGAGAAACACAGAGGCGAGGCATTTTTGTGTTCCTTGCTCAGCACCACCTGACCTTTTTCTGACTACCATGACCCTTAGACCTGAATCCTTCCCAGAGAACAGCGACCTCTCACAATCGTTGCTACCCATACAGATCCCAGTCTCTCAGCATCACAGGAGGCTGGGAGAGGATATCAATAATAAATACCTTAGTCTGTCCAGCACTCTGAAGTTTGCCAGGCACTTTGGCACCCATTATTTCATTTGACCTAACAAAGATCCCTTGAGGTCAACAGAGCAAGTGTTACTCTTCCCACATAATAGATGAGGACAGTGAGGCCCAGAGAAGTACCAACTGCATTTTTAAAGCTCTTGGAGCCAAGCCAGATGGGATCTGGGAGATGGCATGGGCATGGAGGACTAATGACCACAGAAATCAGAGATGGAAGGCAGCCCCTACATGGGCAGGGACGTCCTTCCATCATATGCCCCTGGTTTTCCATCAGGGGCCAACATGTAAACTTTGGTATTGGAGGTTACCCACCCATTTTAAAGATGGGGAAAGTAAGGCCCAGAGATCTGAAGTAATGTTCCCAAGGACACATAAATGGCAGAGCTGAGGCTCAAAGAGTAATAACTGGCATTTATTGAGTGCTTTCAAATTTGCAAAGCACTTTACATAGATGATCACATTTAAGCCTGCCAATATCCCTGAAAGGCAGAGGGGTCAAACACATGCCCACAGGCTACGTATGGCCCACAACACTTTCCAGCCAGCCTGAACCAAATTAAAATGTAATTGGGAAGTAGTTAACAAAATAAATAAAAATACAATAGAACACAGATAATATTACATTTTAAAACTAATATGCACCTTCAAGGATCCTTATATATGGATTAGTGGCCCTGCTTGCTATTCGAGTTTGACACCACTGCTATATGGTATGATATCCCCATTTTACAGATGGGGATACTGAAGCTCAGAGAATATGCAGCTTGCCTGGAGTTAAAAAGCTGGTAAGGTTTGGAGGTAGGATTTGAACTCAGATCTTCTTGACTCCAAATCTATCCCTCTACCCACCACTACTTTACGTTGTTCTCCTGACTGTCAGGTCAATGCTCCCTTTCTTTATCCAATGGATTAAGATTTCAGGCAGGGCCAATCTCTTGGAGCCTGCATCAACTCCAAATCCCATGGGAGAGGGGAGATGGGTCTGGATGTAGCAGTAGCCAAAGCAGCGTGAGTGTGTGTCTGTGTGTTTTGAAGGTGTGTGTGGGGGTGCAGATTGTAGGGTAATCTGCCGTACTAGGAATAAGGAGAAAGCTGGCCAAGACTTGGTCTCTTGAGGCTGAGATCCATGTCACCCGCTTAAGTGGTTCTAAGTGGAGACAGGGATATAGGAAACCTGAATGCCAAGGAATCTGACTCCAGAGTCCTCCAAGCAAGACAACTCCTCCCCACTCCCCAGCCCCAGCCCTGAAGATTCCCACAGTCAGAGCTGTCTGAGGGTCTCAGGGATTGTGAGAAAGCTGAGGAGGGAGCTAAGGCAGGATGCTGGGAGCAGGAGGGCAGCTGGCTGGGGAGGCGAGGAGGGAGGGGGGTGGCCTTCCAGTTGACAGGCCCCAGCCGTCATGCCCCTGAGTCCTGGGCTGGGGGTTGAGGCAAAGAGGGCTGCCTTCTGGAACATCCACCCCCACCCCAACACTCACAGCCTGGGGACAGGACGGCTGGAAATATACCCTCCTCTTCAGTCTCACCCCCCTCCCCAAAAGCTGGTAATCGCTAACAGATGCCCTATTACTGACGTCATCCCAAGAGACCAAGAGGGTCGGGACTGTGGGACTCCTGGGGGCTGGGGAATTCTTGGACAGGAATCAACATTCCAAATAGCAATGAGGGAGGGGGAACCAGAACTCCCCCTGCCCCCAACCCTCCATCCTCCTGAGGTGGGAGCTGTAGTTCAGACTCTGGACCTCTTCTAAGGGGCCAGCTAGGGTTGGACACAATAGACCAGGGAATGAATGACCAGGTCCCATTCATTTTCACCACACTACTGATGACCCTGAGCATGACCCTGCCCTTCCGTAGGTCCCCAGTCTCCCTTTTAGTTCAAGCAGGTCACCCATCCCAGCCTAGGAGGGAATATGGGGAGTAAATTATGTCATGGGCACCTTTGATGAAGCCCACGGATCCCTTCTCTGAATAATGTCTTTAAATGCATAGAATAAAAGTTGTAAGATTACAAAGAAAATAAATTGTACAGAAATAAAGATGTCATTTTTTTCCTATCTAAGTTCATAGACTCCCCGAAATCTGTCTGTGGATACCAGGTGAAAGGCTCCTGGTCTAGACCAGGGGTGGGGAACCTGAGGCCTTGAGGCCACATGTGGCCCTCTAGGTCCTCAAGTGTGGCCCTTTGACTGAATCCAAACTTCATAGAACAAATCCTTTTATTAAGTCTAGACTCTGGGCTATACTTTGAGATCTCTAGCATAATAGAATGGTCACTGGATAAGGATCACAAGTCAAGGGTTCAAGTCCTAGTTCTATCAGTGACTTGCTGTGTGACCTTGGGTGAGTTACCACCCCTCTCTGGGTCTCAGTTCCCATCTCTGTATGGGAGAGTTCTTCCAGCTCTGGCATTCTAAAATCTAAATACTTTTCTTAAAGGATACCCAGTACCTGTTCCTGTTGCCCTCCCTGCCAAGAGGGAAAGGAATACTTCTCCTGGGCATCCTCAGCTTCAGTGATTCCTTAAAGGGATGACCAGAACCTAGTTTTATTTGGAGGCTTCCCTCCCCCTCCTCACTGGGTGACCTCAGCAGCAGGTTCCGCTGGGACATTCATGGAGAGGGATAGGGAGGAAGTTCTGAAGCCCTCACCTCTTCACCTTCCTTCCTCCCCTCCCAGGGGCAGCCTGGGCCTAGGGAGGGGAGGGGGGAATGCAGAGGGATAAGGCCAGGATGGAGAAGGCTGATGTAAAATGGGAAGAATATTGGATTTGGAGACAGAAGGTGGGTACCACCACTGACTATCTCTGTCTGACCTCGGTCCGGTGCCCTCCTTTTTCTGTGCCTCAGTTTTTCCTTCTCAGAGGGTGGTGGTCTTGAGCACCAAGTGTAAATCCTGTGATCTGCCCTGGGGACCTCGACTCAGACACCAGGCAGGATCTGACTCACTGGACCAGGAGGGATGAATACCTGGGTCCCATTCCCTCCACACCCGAGTCTGAGACTGGGCCCTGAGGGTCTCAGAACCAGGAGATCTATTCTGGGCAAGACTCACTGGATTTTAAAATTCAAAGGGACCTAAGAATCATCTAATCGAAGATGAAGCATGTTGAGGCGGTGGGGATGGGGGTAAGGGGAGACTGAGGCCTCGTGAAATGCTATCAGAAATGTCAGGGGGGCAGCTAAGTGGCACAATGGATAGAGCACCAGCCCTGGATTCTGGAGGACCTGAGTTCAAATCCAGCCTCAGACACATAACACTTACTAGCTGTGTGACCCTGGGCAAGTCACTTAACCCCATTGCCTAGCCCAAAAAAAAAAATGTCAGAGAGCCCAGGGTGCTTCCTAAGGCCAGGACTCCAGAGACCATGGCCCTCAGATCCTATTCTAAGGCCTTGGTCTCCAGCTTTCTGTGCTATGCAGGTTTCCCCAAGTTCACCAACAGGAAACTAAAGTGGGTTTGCTGTTTTCAACACTCTTGGGACTGATGAGATCTTGGCACAGGGCTAGGAAGTGGAGGAGGAAATGAGGACCTGGGCAGGGGCCTGAGAAACGGACAACCCAGGGGCGCAGGACCCGGGCAGTCCTGTGATGTAGTCCTGCCGATCCTTCGCTACATGCCCCGTTGCTGGAAGAAGGGGTGCTCCAAATTACTCAGAAGCCTCTCCTCTGCAAGAGTGAATGCCTGAGACCTTTCAAGCTGGCAGTGGGCTGTGGCCTCTTAGACAATCAAAAGGAGAGGTGTCTGGTATATCTAGACTCTTGGGGCAGATGTGGGCATATCTGGATGCCCGGTTCTCTTGTCCACGATTGTCCCCTTACTATTCTCTTCCTCCAGTGTGACCTTGGGTAAGCTACTTCTCCTTTCTGGGCCTCAGTTTCCCCATCTCTAAAATGAGCAGGTTGGTCCCATTGATCCCAAATGGCCTGTCCAGCTTGCTTCAGCATTGTACCTTAAATCTGAGTCCGGCCGATTCCGTGATGCAGAGGAGCCGGTTCTCTCCTGCTGCCCCATTACCTATCACTCCCAGCCGGGCCCAGCTTACTCACCCTCTGTGGCCCGTGGTGTGGTACCGCCTGCCCACTTCTGTCATCTGGCTCTTTCGGTTTCTGGCTCTCCAGCTCCAGCCAGAGAAACCTTCTAGCCCCTCTGCTCCAGTCCCTCTCTCCCAGGCGACTGAGCAGCTGGGCTGAACTTTGGAGGCTGGGCTGGAGCTAGGAAGCCCTCCCCTCCAGCTGTCCTGCCCACAGTTCCTCCCCCTCACCTCCTCCCAGCTCTTGGAACGCTGGGATGTTGGCTACTGACAGCTGAAGCCTGAGAAGAGGAGGAAATGGTCAGCCCCCTCGGACCCTCCTCCCCATCCCCCAGTCTAAGGGGGCCTGCGTGTGACGGGATTAGGGCAGGAATCACAGAGTACTACAGAAAGCCCTGGATGTAGAGCTCAGGTGCTACGTGACCTTGGCCGTCCCTTTCCCTCTCTAGGCCTCAATTTCATCCTCTATCAAATGAGGAGGCCCAATACGATGGCTACTAAGGCCCTTCCCATTTCTCACATTCTATGAAATCCTACCTCCTCAGTGAAGCCCACCCTGATTACCTTGTTATACTCTGCACATCTCTTTTACGTGTTATGTTGTATTCCCCATTAGAAAGTATACTCCTTGAAAGCAGGAACTATTTGTTTTTTTTACTTTTTTCATATTCCCAGGACAATGCTTGGCATGTAGTAAATATTTAATAAATGCTTGGTGAGTGACTGACCAAATGAACGAATGACATGCCCTCACCTGAACTCTCTAAGCACAAACAGTACCACTCACTGGACCCTTAGCAGACATTGCTGGCCCTGCTAGTTTTCCTGCTCCTACAAGACTGGGAGCTCCATGAAGGAAGGAGCCACTTCTTATTTATCATCCTCACCCTCCCCACCCCACTCCCACCCCCACCCCTCAACAATGCACACGTTAGCTGCTCAAGGAATATTTGGTAAATGAATAGCGTTCCCAGAATTCCTTCTGCCTGGCCTCCTCCTACCAAGGCCACATGTGGCCCTCTAGGCCCTTTGACTGAATCCAAACTTCACAGAACAAATCCCCTGAAGCAGCAGACAGGTCTGTGGACTCGGAACTCCAAGGTTAGCGTTCCCTCCATTACACTGAGCTGTCTCTCACAGGTCCAACAACGGCATCTCTAAGGGGTAGATCTACCTTCCTCCTGCCTACATTCTTTCCAGAAGGGCACCTACCTTTCCGATGGAGTATCCATCAGGGCTTTCTCTCTGGGAGCTTCTCCCACAGGCTGTCCAGCCTTCAATTCCATGCCCATGTGCTGTGCTCTTAGGGAGCCCTCCAAGGGTCCCAGGGGACAGAGGGCAACATTTCCACCGGGAGTACCCGCTTCCTCTTCTGTTGGGGAGTCTGAGACTGGGATGTCAGGCAATTCCCGGGACGCTGGGTCAGGGGCCGGAGCTGGGACTTGGGGCAGCTCCCGGGACATCAGACTAGGGGCTGGGGAGCCCTCCTCCTTGCAGGACTGCTGTTCCTGCCGACAAGGACTGCCTTTCTTAGCGCCGGGCCGAGGCATGGTCCCCATGTGGCTGTACATGTCACTGGACCGGGCATAAGCCCCGGGGCTCTTGGGTACAGTGCCCATATCATCTTGTGTGTTCTCAAAGGCATCCGGCTGCAGGCTGCGCTGGCTATTTACCGGTGCAGAGGATCGACGGAAGGTGAAAGTCCTGGGAAGGTTAGAAAGACTTCCGAAGGCCTTAAACTTGAAGAACTCTGGTCAAAGTGAATGAACAAGAAACAGAGGTTTCAGTGTCTGATATGTAGGCATCTATAATAATAACTAGCCTGGGGGGCAGCTAGGTGGTGCAGTGGATAGAGCACCAACCCTGGATTTGGGAGGACCTGAGTTCAAATCCGGCCTCAGACACAACACTTACTAGCTATGTGACCCTAGGCAAGTCACTTAACCCCATTGCCTAGCCAAAAAATAAATAAATAAATTTTAAAAAATTAAAAAAAGATAATAGCTAGCCTGTATATAAGTATCTCCAGAGCACTGTACGTAAGAGCGCTGAACCTGGAGTCAGTAGGACATAGGCTCAAAATCCACCTCAGACACTTACTAGCTGTGTGATCCTAGGCAAGTCACTTAACCTCTGTCTGCCTCAGTTTCCTATCTATAAAATGGGGATAATAGTAGCACCTCTTCCAGTTTTCTCTAACATTCTACTTTAAATTCCATTCCTGTTGGTTTTGTAACACATAGGAGCCTAATAATAGTACCTACCTTCCAAGGTTGTAGGTGATGACAAAATGAGATATTTGTAAAATTCTATATAAAGGCTAGCTATCACATAGAGTTTCAAAGACTGCAAAGCACTTTATAAGCATTATCTTATTTGAGCCTTACAGCTCTATGAGGTAGATACTGTTATTGTCCCCATTTTACAGAGGAGGAAATAGAGGCTGGGTGTCCAGGGTCACATAGCTAAGAAAGTGTCTGAGGCAGGATTTGAACTCAGATCTTCCTGACTTCAGGTCCAATACTCTAACCACAACGCCACCTATCTCAACATCAAGTTATGATGAAAATGTCAGTACACAACCCTGATAACTAATGGTCCTATCCCCGTTCTAGGAAATGTTCACCAGGGGAAAAGAGAGTGGGGAACATGAGTGTAGGCTAAAAACCTCTGTGTGTGTGGGGGGGGATTTGTGTGTGAGCGGCTTGTAAGTGTATGTGTGTTGGGGGGAGTGTTTAGCATCTTTGTGTGGGAGGCTGTATAACTGGCTATGAGTGAGCAAGACGGTTTTGAGGGTGTGTGTAGGCATGCCTAAATGTGCATCCACTCACGAATATGAAGATTGCCTTTCTCCCTTTCCTGCTATTGGGGGCCCCTCAGGCTCCGCCCAGGCCACTAACACCCAGCAACCCCTGCTCTGGGGTGATAACATCTCCCCACATCCTGGGGTATGTGAGTACAGACCTCTGGCTCCCAGGCTGTCCCTCTTCACAACCACATCACTAAATCTAGGCCAGAGGCAAGCTCCTCATTTTCTGCTTCCTTTCCCTCCCTAGAGCACCAAGAATTACCCAAGCTGACCAGTTCTCACAGGCCTCCATACCCCCAGCTCTGGCCTTCCAAATCTTTAGCAAGGGATGACACTGGCCAGACCACACCCTGAGTCCAAAAACCATAATAAACCAAATACACACACACATACACACACAAACACACACACACACACTCCTCACACTCATTGCAATCTACACTCAATCAAGCCAACACAGAATCTCAGGCGTTCAACAGTTGGGAGGAAATGAAAGAGCCCTGGACCAAGAAGATTGCTATTTGACCTTCAGTAATCACTTCTCTCTGGGGCTCAGTTTCCCTCATCTGTAAAACAGGTCTGTCTTGCCTCCTTCACCAGGTTACCATGTGGATTAATTCAATTCCATTTGTCAAACATTTATCTGTACATGAGACCATATGCTAGGTGCTGAGGATACAAAAACAGAAAAGGAAATCCTTGCCCTCACAGAGCTTACTTTCTGCTGAGAGAATGTGACAGGCAATAACAGAGATAAATAAATGGATGGAAAGAGTGCTAATAGCTGGAGAGAATCAAGAAAGGCTTCCCAGAGGAAGTGGCAGACCATTGGGACCTTGAAGGAAGGCAATGTTTATGAGAAGCATCGGGAAAGTGAAGAGCTCTATGGAGGGGGTGAAGAGTGATTTGGGGGGGGAATAGCAAAGTGAGGGAGGGGTAATTAACCCAGTGGAGGCCAGACTGTCCCAGTAAGGCTACAGGGAAGTGGGAAGAAGGGTCTCTGACCTTCTCCCCACCGCAAACACACACACACACACACACTCACGCACGCACATCAATCAGATTACCACCAGGCTGAAGATTCAGTTGCTGTTATCTTTTCCAGCCAGATCCGGTGGGGAGGCTGGCCCTGTGAAACTGATGGTCCTGTCTATCATAGAGGAAGCTAGGCATCTACGACCTTTCAGAGGCTCACTATACACAAGGCCAGGGATGGGAGAGGTCATCCACCATGGGGGAGGGGGAGGGAATGCTGGGAAGGCACTCGCTACCTGGGATCAATCAATCAGTCAACAAGCTTTTAAGTGCCTACTGTGTGCCAGGGGTTACAAAGAAAGGCAAACACAAAAATCCACAGTCTGGTGGGGGAGAGACACTATGCAAA